AAAAAAAAAAAAAAAAAAAAAAAAAAAAAAAAACAAGCAAGCAAGCAAACAAAAACCTATTTTCAGAATACAGATGTGTTGCTTCAGCGCTCTGGGACGGGACATGCTGCTCCCCTCCTGCCATCGCGGACTCTGTTGATTGTCTTCACCCCTTCCTCAAGGTGATGAGGCATTGTGATCTCTGTCTTGCACATGCCGGCTCGCTCTCAGGAAAGCCAGGGCTCCAGAGGGCAGTTCCACACCATTTCATGTATTTTTAAACCCAACTCCTAGCACTGAAGATGTTATTAAAAAAAAAAAAAAAGAAAAAAAGGAAGAAAAAAAAAGGAAAAGAAAAAAGAAAAAAACACACACACAAAGAAGAAAAATACCTAATCTCTAATGTGTAGCAGTTACATATTTACCAAATAATGGACTCAAAAGAAATAGATGTTTGAAGAGTGCTTTATATATTAAAAATTGCTTTATGTTTTAAAGATGATCAATGTTTTGATTGTTTTGCAAGGAAGAAAGACAATGAAATAACACACCCTCAAGTATGTTTTAAAAAAAATATATGAACATTGTACTCCCTGCCTATGTGGTCAGGAAACTTGTGCATTACATTTTTTAATTAGCTTTTTAATGGTTTTATCAAAACAAAAAGAAAGCACGTCCTGCAAGATTGCAGAGAAACGCTGGTTTTCTAGAGGATCATGAACTATGCACAACTGGGTTCAAGACTTGTTCGAGTTTTGTCATGTATCCCACAGAACGGCCCTCCGCAGAGTGACTGCATCTCGTTGCCATTACGTGCGTCCTAGATATTTGATGTATGTATACCCAAATATGTATATCAAATATGTGCGTGTGCGTGCGTGTGCCCCCAGATGTTCAGCTCGCCATGCTGCCGTTTAGCACTGAGTTGTAGAAAAACTCCTAATGTTTTAAAACTGGGGATGGAAGTAAAGGATGTTTTCAGTTTTTATGGGTTTTTTTTTTCCCCTTTTCTCCCCTTTTTTCCTTTTTGAACCTTTCGAATTTAAAATGTCTGTGACTCTAAGATTAAAAGTTTGTGGCACTTAAAATGCCCTCCTCCTGGAATGTGGTTGGACGCGCACTGGAGGCTGCTTTCAAAATACAGCGCTTCGTTGAGTCTTAATAAACTGCAGTTTTTCTTGGCTGTTCACATATTGCTGTGTCTTTCATCTGTGAAAGGCCCGTGCTTTGGTGTGGAGACGGCATACTATGTCTCTGCTGGGTGTGTATTCATTTCTGGTGAAACTCGCCATCTTGGCTGTTTGGCTTGGAGTTGTAGCCTTTGCTCTTTGGCTTTGCTGAGAATATGTGGATCCTTTCAATAGCCACTGGAAGGCATAACGCTTCCAAGTCCTGGTCTGACTGAATTGGATGCATCTGAAGACCAATGTTGCCCAGGCCAGCAACAGGTGGAGCCTGGGGCTGCAGGTTTTCCTAGGACCACCACGACTGGGTACTTACATGCCCAGTGTGGGCATTTAAAAAAAAAAAAAATGGAGAAGCTGGGATATAGCTCGGTGGTAGAGTCTATGTGCAGGCATAAGGCCCTGGGTTCCACCCCCAGCACTGTCGGGAAAGATGGAGTGGGACATTCCTGTAGGCCCAGCACTCGGGAGACTGAGGAGCATCACCGCCTGAGTCCACAGGCTCAAGACCAAAGCATGCAAAGCAGCAAGACCCCAGCTCAGACAAGGCAATGGCGTGCTTCCCGAGTGTGTGCTTCATTGTTCTCTCCCCTAAAAACATGCTGGTAACATGCACAAAACAGCAGCACTGTCGGCGGGCTCCTGGGTGTCACTGGATGTAGAAACACTAGGTCAGCTTTCACCCTCTAATGTTGAGCCACCATGTCCTAAGGATGAGCCCTGTCCTACCACAGGCAACCCCTGGGAAAGAAGGGGAGCTGCTAGCTCAGCCAAGGAAATCACCGGAGGGGCCCTGGCCCCATGGGAATCAAAGACCAGATGGAGAATGAGACTCAGAATGTCAAGCTGCCCTTGGCCTTCCAGCAGCCTCTAGCTCTGCTGGCCAGAGCTTCAGCAGAAGAGCGGAGCAAGGCCAGGCTAGCAGCTGGCCTTGCACAGGTGTTCTCGGCATCCGTGGGTCAAAAAGCCGTGGCTTAGAGGATCTGGCCAGGGTCTTGCATCTGTGAAATACTGTTGTCAACATCCCATTGCCTTGGAGACATCCAGGGAGTGAACAGTAGGTTTTCATGCCACCTGCCCTGGCCATTGAGACTGTGTTGGATTTTAACAGTAAGGAACAGAATGATGAGGGCCAGCAGAAAGGGCCTCATGGGACTGGATTGAATGAAATAGGCCTGATGTCAGGGATCCAGGATGCAGGAGGTTTGGACCTGCCTTGTTACCCGCACTGTGCTAACAAGACTGGCACAATGAAGGCAGAAGGCAGGACCCCCAGTCAAGGTGGTAGGGTGGCAGAGAAAGCCAGCAGAGGTGGGCAAGCCCCTGACCAGGGCATAAGACACGGTGGGAGCTCCTGTGACCTGGTGGGGCTGAGTGAAGCAGGAAGACCCTGGAGACAAGGGGTATTCTGGGAAGCTTCTTTGCAGCCACAGTACTTTAAAGAGACCCAGAAGGCCAGGGTGAGGTGTTCCCTTGGGTGCCAGTGCTTCTCAGGGAGTCACCGCTGATAGAGGCATCCTCACAGCTTGTCCCTGGCAGCACTAAGGGAAGTATGCCTGGCCCAAGGCCTGCCAACCCCATCCTGTGAGCAGCCTTCAGCTTAAGTGTCTGCATGTGACAGATGATGCTGGATTGCAGCCAGAGCATTTCTCTGCCTTGGTCTCTTAGAATCACCCAGAAACTTAGAGAATTGTTGTGCTAGGCTGTTGTACTCATTCAGCATCTTCTGGGGTAGCCCCAAGTACAGGTGGTTTCAAGGCCCTTGTGTTCCCCAGTGCAGCCATGCCTATAACGTCAGCATCAGGGATCAGGATTTCAAGGCCATCCATGACCAACAGGGGCTGCACAAGACTCACCCCAAAAGTGGGGGCTAGTGTTTTGTATTCAGTGTGAAACGCAGTGTACTCTCCCTCCCCTCCCGCCCTATGCCTACAGAACACTGATGGAGGTGGCTCTGCAGTAGAGGCGCTAAGCACTCAGAGGAGCCTGGGAACCCAGCCCAAGGTCAGGAGACAAAAAGCATGGCCGTCGCAGGTGCTGCGTGCCTCTGCAGCTCTGCAGCAGCTTGTGTTGGGAGTCACTCCAGGCCTGGGCCTGCACTCACAGAACCCAGTGCTGCTGGTGCCATGCATGACACACCCTGGGCTGTCTTTCCCTTCGGTGGTGTGTCCTGACCTTGTGAGACAACTGGGCTCCAGAGGACAGTGAAGTCGTCATCCACTGTTGTCTCCATTTAATGCAGACCCCACACTGGTCAGGAAATGTGGAGTACCCACAGGCATGTGGTCAGTACTCGCACCTGGACACAGAGCTCCAGCCAGCCCAGGCCAGCTGTGGCAGGCTTAGGAACTCTTGTGCTGAGACAGAGTTCTCAAGTCACAGGAGCTTGTTATGGCCTCAGGGGTGGCACAGGACCAGCAGGGGCTTCTGTCTCCACTAGCAAATGGGGAAAGGTGGGGCCAGCCCTGCTGGCATGTCACAACTCAAAGTGACTTGCCAACAAGTGCAGCTAGTGAAGGTCATCCAGACTTAGGAGGGTGCTGTGGTTAGGGTTTCTTTGAAGCTCCTGAGGCGCAGCCCACACAGGGCATCTCACCCAACACCATCCAATAGCGGTCCCTCCACTGTGTTGCTGCTCACACCAGGTGTCACGTGATCTCTTGAGTCCTTCCCTAAATGTGCCCTCTTTTGTCCACACAGCATCACCACTGATTGGCTTCTCATCCAAGGCACAGATCTCTCATCCTGCTCAGGAGAATGTGGCCACAGTAGAGGGCAAGCCTCCTTTTAAGCCCAAGCTTCCCATGGAAGGCTGAGTAGGCACCAAACACCAAGTAACCTGGCAGGGGTGGGTCACAAGCTCGTCCCAAAACACAAACCAGTATTGCAAAACCTATTTAATCAGAATAATACAAAGTTGGGGAAGGGAAAGCCAGGCAGAATATGGCAAGCCTTTGGTTCTTGCACCTGGGAGGCAGAGGCAGGTGAATATGAGTTCAGGGCCAGCCTGGTCTACATAGTTAAAAACAGCTAGGGCTGTGCAGATCAAAAAAAAAAAAAAAAAAAAAAAAAGCCAGCGGAGGGCGCTGCCCATGTAAAGTCACTCCACTGCCATGTCCTGTGGGGATCTCAGGTCCAAGTGTCTGCCTGCAGGGTCACGGTGAGTGGCGGTGCAAGGCTCCTTTCTGTCCCCTCCATCCACAGGCAGGGCAGGTGGTATGGTACCCTCCTGGGTTCTGCCACACCTGCCAAAAAGGAAAATCAAGGTGACCCAACCAACATCAAAGCCCCTCCAACCTACTTGGCTGGTGGCTCAGCGGACACACTGAGTCCCAGATAATACATGTCAGGGCTCACAGCGCAGTGAATGAAGGCCAAGCTGGCAGAGTAGCGTGAAGAACCGCCAGGGATTACATTCCAGGGGCTTGGGAGAGCTGCTGGGCCACATTAACCAGCCACTTCGTGGTCCAAAGCTTTGGGATATCAGCAGCCTTATGGGCCTCAGTAAACACCTGTCCTCAATGTGGGCTAAAGGAGCACAGTACATACACCAGCTGTGAGGATCAGATGGGAGTCAAGACCCCCACAACTGCAGTCTACAAGGGCACCTGCCCTTGTGCCCCTGGCCAGGTAGCAGAACCCAAGAACTGGATGTTCTGAGATGCGTTCAGTGCAGGACACCGCCCTCACTGTGATCTACAGAGGGGACCTGCAGACGTGACCTGAGGGGACAAGCCTCAGCTTGCTGGGGGTGTTGGGAGGGTGTGGACCTGCATGGTGTGTGTGTGTGTGTGTGTGTGTGTGTGTGTGTGTGTGTGCGCGCGCGCGCACTGTAACCTGGTAGTTGTGCGCCACTTAGCAGATTCTTCTGTTGTCAAGGTTATAAAACTGGTCTGTGGGAATGGAGAGAGGGCTCAGAACTTAAGGGCACTTGTTGCTCTTCAGAGAACCCTGCTTCAATTCCAAGCATCCACACAGCAGCATAACTCCAGTTCCATGGGACCCAGTGCCCTCTGACCTCCACAAGCACACATGCTGCACCCATACACACAATTTTTTTTAAGTGTTTAAATAAAAAAATTAAGCTGGCCTGCCTCAGTGGTGCCTGAATGTGGCTCTCCATCCCGCCCAGGCTGTCTTGACTGCGCAAACCCCTGCATCTCGGCAGCCACCACCCCAGCTTTAACTGAGGTGACAGAGACACTGAAGCAGAGGGTGAGGCAAGCCAGAAGCTGACTCCTGGAGCGCAGAGGTGCCTCACTAAGGGAGCCCCACTAAAACGAGAGTGCCTCTTTCCATCGACCCTCCTTCCTCCCCAGCCCCTTCACAGAGGCCTCCACCATCACCTGCTCCTTCCCTCCTCTTCATAAACAGAGTGAAGCTTGTTGATCAGGAAGATCTTGTCCTCTCCCTCCTAGAAAGGCCAGAGCACAAGCATGAGAAGACAGAAGCTGCCCATCCCTCCACCCCAGAGCAACGCCAAGAGGGGCTTGGGCCCACATCTTTGATTCCAGTGAGGAGGCAGAGGCAGGAGGATCTCTGTGAGGATAGCCTGGTCTCTACCAAATTCTAGGCTAGCCAAAGCTACATGTGAGCCCCATGTCTCAAAAAAAAAAAAAAAAAAAAAAAAGTCAAAGGGAAAGAGAAACTCAGACATGAACATACTTGTGGATCTAAGCCTAGTAATCAGGTAAGGATGGCAGCCTCACTGTGAAGGCCTATGAGCCAGCCAAATCCAATTTCAAACCAGCTCTGCCTCTGCCCCAGACAAGTCTATCCCTCTTCTACCACACCCGCTCTTTCTCCCTTGAAAAAGAGTCTCATCATGTAACTGAGGATGACCCTGGACCAGCCCCCAAGTGTTGCTGGGATTACAGGTATACACTATCACCTTAATGTTTTCAGTCCTGACCCTTCTGACAGACAGACTGCCTATGTCTGCACACAGGCCCCGAGAGACTCCTAGAACTTTACAGTTTGAGCCCACAGTGTGTCCCACACAAAACCAGGCAGCAGGCCAGGAAGGCCTGGCCACTTCATGCTTGCTCTCTTCTTAACCCCAGTTACACAGAAGTGTCTCACGCTAACTCTAGTACTCAAGCAGCTGAGACAAGAGGATCACTTTGAGATTAAGGTGAGCCTAAGCTACAAAGTAAGACCCTATGTCAAAGACCAGGGCTGTCAGATGGATCCACAGAAAAGCTCCCCAGAACCCATAAAGAAGTGGGAGAACCAACTCCACACACAGTTAAAAATGAAAAGCAGGTTGAAAATGTAACTTGGTTGGTACAAGACAGTGCTTTCCTAGCATAGAGGAGGCCCCTGACGCGATAGCACCTCATAAGATGTGGATCAAAAAATCTAACAGGCTAGCCTGGGCTAGAGTGAAACTCTTATCTCCAAAAACAATAGATCGAACACAGGGAAGCCCACAGTGAGGTGCACAGATGAGTGGACCCAGAAAACGCACAGGCTACCACTCACATTCCGGATCTGTTCCTTGAGCAGGCAGATGACCTTGCGTTGGCCTTTCACCACCTGGATGTTGAGGTAGATGACAGCCCTGAGGAGATGGAGGCTCAAGCTTGAGGCCAACAGAAAGGCCAGGGAAAGCTCGGGGCACTACCTCAGGCTACCCCCGCCACCTGCAGAACTCACAGCAGCAGGGCTGACACCAGAAAAAGGAAGAACGTGTTCTCCACCAGGAAGTGGTGCAGCCAGGGCAGCCAGGAGGCCCCAGGGCCGGCACGCTCCAGGCGACGCACCCAGACTGTGCCTGCCTCGTACATGGTGTTCAGAGTCCGGAAGGGGCCGCAGGTGCTTGAGGGCCTCACCCTGGAGAAGAGAGGGACCAGAACCATAAGGCGACAGTCCCACTCACAGCCAGGACAAGGTGCGTAACCCCAAGCCCGGAGAACAGGCCTCCACTCACTGCCAGACGGCATAGCAGAGGAAAACAGCTGCACCCAGGAATGACGGGAAGCAGAGCAGGGTGAGGAAGACGGTGCTCATGTGTGAGGCCATCCAATGCCGTCGAGGCGCCTGGCAGTTGGCCATCAGGCTCGCCTGGGGACAAAAGCAATGATCCGCACCCTGCCAAGACCACCACGCCCTGCCCCCAAGCTCCCTTCCACCACACTGGTGCTCTAAAAATATGGTTAACAGTGTTTATCAACTTGACAGGGTCTAGCACCAGCCAGTAGGCAAACCTCTGGGGACCACCATCCCACCAGCTGGGGGTCCTGAGCTACAGAAAAAGCAGAGGGAGCTGAGCACCAGCGCTGCTCTCCGCTTCCCGACTGAGGATGCCTCTTTCTCCTGCTGCCGTGCCTGCCCCTTCATGATGGACTGCACCCTCTACGTGAGCCAAAGTTAACTCTTTTTCCCCTTACACTCCATCTGTCAGGCCCCTGGTGACAGCAGCAATAAATACAACACAAAGAAGGAGGAAAGGGGCAGGCAGGCAAGAGCTGAGCCTGCAGCCAGGCCCCAAGCCAGAACCCAGGACAGGACAGAGACCGGGTTCCCCCCACCCTAGCGGGTACCAACACCTATGGTGAGAAGACTCTGGTAGAAGCTGGAACAGAGTCCAGAAAGAGCCAGCTGAGCTAAGAGCTTCCTCCACAGGAGGCAATAAAAGGCAGCAAGCCGGGGCAAAGGAACTGGTCCTCACAGCCACATGCATTGGCTGAGCCGTGCCACTCTCGACCTATGATTCCCACACGTCATCAGCCCAGTGACTACCCCCCCCCCACCCGGTGTAGAGCTGAGGAGGACCAGAGGTGGGCCCAGAGCCACAGTAAATAAAGGTCCTGGCCATCGGGCCCTGAGCACACCAACTGAGAGAGAGCCAGAGTCACTCCCAAGAGATGTGAAAAGCAGCCATTTCTCCAGCCTGCCTAAAACAGGACTATCAGGGAGGGCCCCAGGGCAGTAAGCCCACCCTCATTATGTAGCCCTGACTGCCCTGGAACTTGCTATGTAGACCAGGCTGGCCTTGAACTCAGAGACTGCCTGCCTCTGCCTCCCGGCTGCCGGGATTGAAAGTGTGCGCCGCCACCGCCACTGCGTAGCTCATTACCTTCTTGATATGGAAGAGGAGGAGCAGCCTGAGAATCTGCACTGCGGGCAGGAGCGGTGAGAACAGGACGCCCAGCCTGGGGAGGGCAGAGGCAGGGCCAGTGAGCATTCTCCCAACCCTGAGAGTCACCCAGCCACCACCCTCTGCCCACCCAGAACCAAAAGAAGGCAGCCACGGCCCAGGGGCTAAAGGTGCTGGCTGGCGGCCAGAGGGAAGCAGCTGGGAAACCCTCACCACGTCAGTGTCTGCCCGTAAATCAGGTCCAGAACATTCCTCGCAATGTCAAACTCGGGCTTCTGCCTCCTCCTGAGCTTCTTCTCTGAGATGAGCCTGGACAGAGGAGCCCCTGAGAAATGAGCAGGGAGACCCTCATCCCCACAGCGCCAGTGCAAGCTGGCACCCAGCAAGTGTCAGGAGAGACGGTGAGCCCCCACCTGGGCCTGGGGGCTGTCGATGCAGACATGCCTCTGAGCCTGTCCTCTAAAAGACACCAAGCTCAACACAGCATCAAGGGCTGTACTGCTCTAAAACAGAACAAAACAAAAACAAACAAACAAACAAAAAAATCGGCACAGAAGGGCTGCAGAGGCAGCTCAGTGGTTAAGAGCACCAGCTGTTCTTCCAAAGGACCTGAGTTCAATTCCCAACACCCTCATCAAGGTAGCTCAAAATTGCTTGTAACTCCAGCTGTGGGCTGTGAAGGGCTATCTGACTCCCTCTTACAGCCTCCACCATCACCAGCACACACACTGCAAATAAATGATAAACTATAAACGGAATGAGCAAGGAAATGCCAGCACTCAGAAAGCTGAGACAGCAGGATTATGAGAGTAAGGCAAGCCAGGACTACATAGTGAGCCCCAGGGCAGCCAGGAGGCCACGGCCAGCTTACACTTCATGGTGAGACCATGTGTCAAGAAACCAAGAGGTGCAGGGCATGGTGGCACACGCCTCTAGTGTCAGCAGCATTCGGGAGGCAAAGGCAGGCAGATCATTTTGAGTTTGACAGCCTGGTCTACAAAGTGAGTCATGACATCCAAGGCTACACAGAGAAATGATGCCTTGAAACACTGAGAGGAAAAAAAAAAAAAAAAAAAAAAAAAAAGCCAGGTGTGGTGGTGCCCACCTGTAATCCCAGCACTCTGGAAGGCAGAGGCAGGTGGATCTTTGAGGCCAGTCTGATCTACAAAGTGAGTCCAGGTTGGTCTCTGTGAGTTTGAGGCCATCCTGGTTTACACAGTGCGTTCCAGAACACCAGGGCTACACGGAAAACCCTATCTTGAAAAACAACCAAACAGAAAAGGACTTCTGGGTTAGGTGGCATAGGTCTGCAATCCAAGCTATTCAGAATCTTGATGCGGCAGGAGGACCGCAAGTTCAAGGTGAGGTTAGGCAACTCATCAAGATTGACCTCAAATGAGGGGGGGTCGGTAAAATGGCTCAGAAGGTGTGCCAAACCTTATGACCTGAGTTCAATCCCCAGGACCCACTTAGTTGGACCACTGAGCTCCACATTCGCAGCACACCTGTGCGCGCACACACATGCACAAAAACACACCCAATTAAAAAAAAATGTATAAGAAAAGTCTGAAGCCGGGCGTGGTGAGGTACACCTTTAATCCCAGTACTTGGGAGCCAGAGGCAGGCAGATCTCTGTGAGTTCAAGGCCAGCCTCATCTACAAAGCAAGGATAGCCAAGACTACACAGAGAAACTCTATCTCCAAAAGCCAAAAACAAAAAAGTTTGAAAAAGAATATCTTACTTTTCAACTCTCGTTAAACCCATGTAATCCCATAGAAAACACAGAAGGCTTCAAAGAGCTACCACCCACAGGACCCACCCATAACACTTCAAAGACGTCCCCTCCTCTCTCTTCCTCTGCCTATGAGCAACACTGAAACCTTTCCAATCCGAATCTCCCCACATCCTGTCTCCCCCATCTAAGAAGCTCTCACAGGCTGGCAGGAGTAGCCCAGCACACCCCAACCCTACCCCACCTGTCCCTTCCTGACTGACCTAGGTGGGTACCAGGGGCCCAGAGGACTGAAGGGAAAGCCAGGAGAAGCCTCCTCACCTCCATACCAACTCGCCAAAAAGGGAGTCCAAGAGGGCGAAGATGAAGTCCACGACCATGAAGCGGTACAGTTCCTGGCCCACGAAGTCCTCCCAGCAACGGCCCTGCAGGGCTTCTACCCTGCGGCCCAGCCAGTGGTAGCAGAGCACACCCAGGATGGCCATCTTCAGGATGAGGTTCCTGTACAGGCGGAGGTCCTGGTGGCTCAGGGGACACCAGACAACAGACACCGCCAGGAGCCCTACCCAGCAGCCCATGCTCCCAGCCACACACCTGCAGATGGCCATGTACACCTCCAACACAGGGGAGTCATGCCGCTCCAGGGCGGCCAGACCACGGAACAGGTAGGAGGCGCCCAGGTTGAGGACACTGACCACCAGGGGCAGGGCCAGCAGCTCCACCCCCTGGCTGCCAGCAGCAGGCCTCTATGAAAACACAGAGGGTGCAGTCAGAAAAGGTGTACTGGGACACATTCACTGTGGCCGTCCCGTGGGAGGGGCACGGAAGGTCACACCATTCCTGGAGCACGGCTCGCCCCAGGCCTTGGTCCCAGCCACCCAGGAAGCGAGGAGGAGCGTGAGAACCGTGGGGCCTGATGGGGCTATGGGATCCCTTGCCTTACCTGAACCATGACCTCTGAGAAGGTGAGGACCGCCACTGCACAGCCCAGCGTGGACCCCAGACACAGCAGCCATCCCAGACCTAGAACGACAACCTGCCGAAGCTGCCCGCATGTACTCCGAGGGCGCGTCCGCAGCTGCCATTCGGCCAGCAGCTCCTGCACGGGGAAAAAGGCCCCCAGAAATGGGTCCCTGAGCAGAGCCAGCTCCTCTTCCTGGCCGAAGCCTCAGCACACTGGAGCAGCTGGAACTCCAGCTCTTTTGTGTCCCTGGAGCAGGGGCTGATGCCACAGAGGGTACAGGTGCAGGAGCACTGGACCTCCTGGTCATGGGAGGGGAGGACCACCACAGCCCAGAACCTCAGGACCAGCCGGCAGACGCTCACCACTCCCACGCAGATCTGACCATCTGATCCCAAGAGGATCCAGGCCAGGCCTGCAGAAGCCGGGTGGCCATGTGCGGGGCAGGGAGCTTACCTTCAGCTGAGTGCAGATGCTGTCCTGCTGGACACGGGAGGCCCGCTTCTGAGTCACCTTGTAGTCCCAGGAGCAGAAGACAGTAAGGGCATGGATGCCCTTAGTACTGCCAACCCGGTAGCTCTCCCCGAAGGAGTGGGACATGCTAGGGGGCAGCAGAGACAAGCCGGAGGTGAACAATGGAGGGGTGGGCGGACAGGTAGGTGGATGAGTGAGTAGATGGACAGACAAACGGAGGGACGGATGGAAAAATGGACCGGCAAGCAGGTTAGTGGGCAGGCGGGTGGATGGACAAATGGGTGGACAGACTGGCAGAAGAAACACTAACGGGGGGGTGCAGGAATGGTTCGATGGGTAAGTGGGGCATAGATGGACAGACAGGTTGATGAGACAGCTGCACGGACAGGTGTGAGTGGAGGAATGAGCAGATATGTGCACAGAAGACAAATCGGGACAAACAGGTAGACAGGCAAGTGGGAGGGTGGGCAGACAGATGGCTCAATGGGAACATGGGTAGGCAGATGTGAGGGGATGGAGAGGTGGGTGGGCAGACAAGGCGCTGGACAGACGGAGGCCCGGCGGATGGAAGAACGGTGCTCCCTGCTGAGCTTGTTACCTGTATACCAGAATAATGCAGATGAAGAAGAAGGCTGCCCCCACGGTGAACAGGTAGGCCAGCGGCATGTTATAGGGCAGGCTGCCCAGCCTGGGACTGCATGGGGCCCCTTCTCTCGGGGAGGCACACGACTGGCTCAGCGTGGCGTTACTGTAGTAGCCATAGTACATGACCGTGTGTGTAAACCGGCCCTGTCAGGAGAACGAGCAGAGTCAGGGGTCCTCCTTCCTCTCCTCACCCAGCCCAGCAGCTCTCAACTTTCCTAATGCTGGGACCCATTAAGACAGTTCCTCATGGTGTGGTGACCCCCAACCATAAAATTATTTCATTGCTACTTCTTAGCTATAATTTTTTAAAAAGATTTATTTATTTATTTATTATACAGTATTCTGTCTGCATGTACACCTGCAGGCCAGAAGAGGGCACCAGATCTCACTATAGATGGTTGTGAGCCACCATGTGGTTGCTGGGAATTGAACTCAGGACCTCTGGAAGAGCAGCCAGTGCTCTTAACCTCTGAGCCATCTCTCCAGCCCAGTAACTGTAATCTTACTACTGTTATGAATCATAATGTAAATAACTGCTTCACAGGATATTTGATACACAAGCCCAAAAAGGGGTGTTGTGACCCACAGGTTTTAGAATCACTGCCCTAGCCCATTCTCAGGCCTCCAGAAGAAGGGAAAGCCATCCACAGGACACCTAGGAACAAGCAGAAGCCCACTAGGGAAACTGGGATGAGACAGGCACAGACAGCCAAGGCAGGAGCCGAAGGCCTCACCCCGCCTGTGAGGAGTTCCAGACCAGAGAAGGCAGGGACGGGGCCTGATGGGTCAGGTGGGAAGGCAGCCTGCACACCCACGAGGAAGGCCAGCAGAGGTAGCAACATCAGCGCGTTGAAGGCCAACAGGGTCTTGAGGAAGAGGAAGTAGGAGAGGACGCTGGAGCCAAACTGGCCACCGATCTGCTTCAGAGCATAGCGCCACGGCCTGGCAGCATACAGGCCTGAGAGCAGCGACAGCCCCAGGCTGTGCAGAGCCTGTAGGGACAGATGAAGGACAGCCCCAAGGAAAAGCTGGGGTTAGAAGTCCCTTGACAGGACAGCCTTAGGGTAGGGTGTCCTCAACCCCAGGCACCCACATCCCCAGCAGGTGAGCTCACAGCTTGGAGCCCCTACCAGTATGCAGGTGTATCTGAGCCGGCTGCAGCAGGACAAGGCCCCATGTGGGCCCCGCTGGCCCCTCCGCTTTCCCTTTGGGCTCCAACTTTTCTCTCTGGGGAACAGAGACAATGTCTAGAGCATAAAGGCCTGAAGCATAGAGGAATGTGGCCATCCCTGATGCCCTCACCCACCCAGAACGCAGGAAGGCCAACTGAAACCATGGGGCAACTCACCGCAGCCAGCGCTTCTCACCCAGGCTCAGGGGCATGTTCCGGATCATATGGTCCCTCTGGGCCGCTGACAGACCCTGAAGCTCCTTCACCAGCAGGCTCCGCTTCTCTGCCCAGAGGAAGAAAGCGCCTCAGTGCCAGCATCCTTCCTGCTGTACACTGACCAGGGCTCTGACAGCCACCAGCCCAGCACGGCCCTCTGAGAGCCACCCACATGGTTCTCCTCTGCCCTTACAGTCAAAGCCAGACCCAGGCCAACGGTCCAGACCGTCCTCCAACAGCCCCTCCCCTCACTCTTCTATCAAGCCCAGGAGCCCCTTCCCCAGGCCCCAGCAGACCCTGACATCCTTGAGGCCCAGGGGGGCAGGGCAGCCACCCACCCGCACCACACTTCTCGGGGCACCTGACTGAGGTACCCCTAGAGCTCAGCATAAAGAGGGTCAGGAACCGGTGGCATTCTCCCTCATCCTAGAGATCCTAGCCCTGTCACCACAGATGCGCAAAGCAACAGGTCAGCCATGATGCTACTGTTGTCAACTTGACAGAATCTAATCCCTGGGCAGGCCTGTGAGGGATCATGTTGATTATTTTAATCAATGTGGGAAGACCTGTCATAACGCTGGATGGGGAATCCTGGGTGGTATAAAACGAGGAAGCGAGTAGAGCCCCCAGCAACCATCCATTCTCTGTCACTGTGGATGCCACAGGACCAGTGGCTTTAAGGCCCTGCCACACTGGCACACTGGACTGTCATTAGAACTGTAAGCCACCATAAGACCTGTGTCCCTTTGTTGCTTTTAGCAGGGCATTCAACACAGCAACAGGAAGAGAAACTGTTACCACACTTCCGGCCCCACAAATATAGGCAGATAGATATATAGCCATCTTCATCTTTAGGACCACCTCATGAGGGTGGGGTTAGTGTTCTAACTCCCAAGTTACAGATAAATAATCTGCAGAGGCAGGAGGACCAGAGGTCCAGGCCAGCCTGAGCAGGCCGTGACCCTGTCTCCAGGCCCTTGACAGAGCATTTGCCTAGTACTGGAAGTCCACTGGGTCCACCACAGATAGGGAAGCTGTGGGGAGAGGAGGAAGGAGCACGGGAGAGCAGGCCTTCCAGAAGCTGGACACGGCCAGGTGGCAGAGTGAAAGGAGACACGGGAACAGTCAACTGAATTCAGAAGCCAAGCCACTCCAACCCTCTCGTACCCATCACCAGGAGCCTTGGGCTCGCCCCTGTTACTCCAGCCTGAGGGCCTTGGTCACTTTCTCCAGGAAGTCACCTGGAGCAGCAGGCTGGGCTGCTCTCCCATTGTGCTCTCTAGCGCTTGTACCTGTCCTTCATTCTCCTGCTCGCCCTTCTATTCAGCTCGTGTTTGTCTCACCCAGCAGGAAGAGCTACACTATGGCATGGCTGGCTCCACCGACCAGCATCACGAGAGAGGTCTCCCCAGCACTAAGTGAGGGATTGAGGGGGTTGTGCCTGCCCTGCAGACCTGTGCCACTCTTGTTTGATGCGCAGGGCTCCTCTAGAGGGGCCGCACAGCTAGGCAGCTCTCAGGCAGCCGGAGAGAGAGGCTCTCTGGCTGCTGGTCGCTCACTCACTATCCTCCTCCAGGATCGTGGGGTCCAGTTCCAGGTCATACAGGCGAAGGCTGGGCCGGGCAGATCGGGTCACACTCCCCAGCAGGGGCCGGCTGTTCCGGCGCCGCCGCAGCCTCAGTGTGCGGTTGTAGTATTGGGAGATGATGGCACCACGGCTCCGACCTTGGGGAACAGGCGGCAGGGTAGAAGAGGGCAGGAACAGGACTGGCCTCACACCCCTCTGCCAAGTTCTCAGCCCTTCCCGAGACTGGGGGAAATCCCTTTGCCAGAAACCCAAGAGCCTGTTTTTAGCCCTGTGACAACTGCAGTCATGTTTAGAATCCAACAAGGGTAGGAGTGGCCCCAGGATATTCTGGGCTTCACGGCCCAGCAACAGGAAGGATGGGAGTCCAGAGGAGCTCACTCAGACACCAGGCTGGGGTGAAGGGCAGCACAAGGGCAGAGGGCCCCACTCACCAATGGTACGGCTGGGCATGCTAGCCAAGATGCGGAGAGTGGCCGTGCTGTAGACAGGGCCGCCTTCGGGCCTTGGGAGGGTCTGGTAACCTCTGCCTGGAGATGATGGAGATGCTGCAGACCCCTGTCTCAGCCAGCCCACCCCTGCCCACCCGGAGCCTGGACCATCCAAGGGCAGTGTTCTGATGTCCTGCCCACACCAGGTCGAAGTGCAGGCCTGAAGGCCAGGTCAGGTGCTTACCCGGAGCCAAGGGCATTAGCTCCAGCCCCTCCTCAGCCACCCGAAGGCTCTGTTCTTGGATGAGCTGGTGGAAGGAGTCGTGGACCTCACTCTCTTCATAGGGGCTGGGCTCCGGGCTACTAGGGAGAAGCGAGTGTGGGAATCCATGCCCCATGCCTCTCCCACTTCCGGGTGACACAAGCCAAGACCACCAGGGTACTTACTCTTCATCCCCTGTGGTCTCTGGGACATCCAGGGCTAAAGCCAGTGGCTGAGCCATGGCTGTGGTATACCCTCAGACCTTTTGCAGATCTAGGGGAGCTCAGAGACCGGATACAGGTTATGGAACCCCACACGGCCCATCTGTTGGGACAAAACCAGCTTTCAGTGCCTGGTACCCAATCCCTGGGACCCATACTTAAGACACAGAGACACACACACACTACAGAAATTCCTACCCTGCCCCTCCCCGCAACTAAACCCATGGTGGCCCCAAATAGCATTCCCACCAATGGCTGGCTGTGGGGGAGGGAAGAAATGAGGAAGGAAGGGTGCGGCTGCAGCCCCCTCCCTCTTTGGTTTCCTAGATGCCGCTGGTCCTGGGAAAATGGGGGAGAGGACTGTGAACACTACCCCTTTCAGGTTTGTTCCCAGGCGTGGCCCTAAGAGCTTCATCCGTTTTAGAGAAAAGGCCAGGACGCTCAAAGGACTTCCCTGTGCCTGCCCTATGACCCCACTGTTTTCTCTCGCAGGAAGTGCAGCCGCAAAGCCCTACCCCCGGAGCTACGGAGCAGCGTCGACACTCAGGGCTCCTTGAAACCCACTCCCAACACTCGGGCCTCGGTGCCCCAAGGTTCTCGTGAGACTGAGTCCCTACATTTCCAACGCAGCTGAAGGCTGGAGGAGGAAGCTGAGCTTACACAAGCTCCCTTTGTCCAGCTCTGTGGCCGGGCACAGTTGCAAGCGGAGCGTTGTTAGGGGCTTATTGTCCTCCTGGCCCAAGGCCCTAAGTGAGTGCGCGGCGGAAAGAGCAACCAATCACCTCACTCCGGAAGGTTTGCCCCTAGGAGGCAAGCCCAGCCCTGTCGACCGATCCTCCCTGCCCGTCTCCGCCTAGAGAACTCGCAGGTTTCCGGAGCTCCTCCGACGACCGAGAGCCCCCTACGCAACCCCGATTAGCACCCGGCACGCCCCCCGCCTGCTCTGCAGCGGAGCCCAAGCAAGCAGAGGCCAGCCCCAGGGCCGGCCGGAGGTGACCTCGCCCGGATGGAAGGCAGCCAGGAGAGGTGGTGCCCTCTCAATTCCTGGGTCCCCTCCCAGGCCACAGTACTTCTCAGGCTCGAGGCCCCAGGCTGGCCCACAAGGGGCTGGGGGTGCTCCCGAAGCTAAGGGCCGGGACTCCGGATCTGCCTGGGCCCCATGTCTGCAGTCCCTCCTGGGGCCGTCCAGGGGCGGGCAGTTCCGGGGCGCACCATCCCGCGTCCCGAGCCAGACGGGACGAGGCCGGGAGCGGCGGTTTCCAGGAACCGGCATCCAACCCGTCAGCCGCTCCCACACCGGAGCTGCCACCCTGGACCCCGGTCCAGGCGCCCAGCTGGAGGAATCCCGCTCCCCTAAGCGGCTCACCTGTGCGCGCACACGCCGCGGGGAACCGCAGCCTCAGCTCCACCACCAGGATAGTTATCAGACAGTAATTAGGGGTACTCGGGGTGATCTCTGATAGTTCCCAGACTGGCAGCTGGCAGTAGCCCCAACCACCCGCTCACGTGGCAGCGGGCCCGGAAGGTCACATGACCTGAGCCCGCCTGCGGGTACGCCCCGCCCATCCAAAACATTGCCCTATGCCCGCCAGCTTCGGACTCCACCCCGGGCACTCCACCCTCAAGTCTGAGCTAAGTGGGTGCGTCAGAGTATTTGGATGTATACAACCCAAAACGGGACGGTTCCATGCCCGCCCAGGTCCTGGGGTCACTCACCAGCCCCAAACCTTCCCACGCGGGATTGCGTAATCCCCTCCTCCCAGCCTCCGTTAACTAGTTCCTGATCGCTGGCTGAGGAATAGGGTTTCTGCCCCCTCCGCCCTGGGCGTGGTGTCTGTTTTTAAAACTAGAGTTAAGCTGCTTCCGGTAGCCATTGTCCCAAGTGCTGTGCCAGTCGCCGGCCTTTCTCTGACCGAGACATAGTCAGTGACCTTTCAATTTCACAGATGAGGAAACTGAGTTTCACCAGCCTGCAGGTGTCACCAGCTGGATCAGGGGCCTTGGCTACTAGAATGTTCCGAGAAGCCCCTTCCCCCATTTGACAGGATGACTACAAGAAGGGAAAGATAAACACACACACACATGCGCAACAACAGACAGCAGAAAACTCGTGTGGCACAGGATGTGGCCTGAGATAACAGGGTCCTCTCGCTCAGGGAGGGGAGGGGTGACAGCCCTTCGCAGCTGATCCTGGGTAGCTGGGAAGGCTTGGCACCAGGCGTCTTGGCCTGCAGACCCGGCCCTCCCCAGCCTCCGGAGGGCTGACTCCTTGCACTTACACTGAGCTGAGCTGACGAGGCCTTAGAAGAGGTGAACAAGGAGGAAGGGTTGGTGCCAAGATGACTCTAGTCATGAATGACGTGACTGGAGCCGCTTCCTAAGCACTTAGGCTGGGCTTGGCGCCAGACCCTGGCCAGGCCCCAGAAATAGGGAGGGCAGTTCCTGAATGAAGGCGGGAAGTTCAGAAATAACCTGCCTGCCAGGCACAGCCAGCGGCACAGGCCTTTAATCCTAGCTTTGGACAGAGTATAGAGAGTTCAAGGCCAGGCTGGTCTACATAGTGAGTTCCAAGACAGTCAGGGCTACATAGCGAGAGCCTGTCTTGAAATAACAACAAAGGAACTCCAGGGTTCTAGAGAGCCAGCAGCGCTGGGGCGACTGAGAAAGACAGATAAGGAGGCCAGTGGCTGGGAAGGGGGCTGGCAGGAACAGGACTGCAGAAAAACAGGTCCGGCCTGGTGAGCGCCCACCGGGTCTCACCTGTGCCCTGCTGTGCAGGAAGTGTACCCCAGAAGCAAAGGAAACTGCCGGGGAAGGCGGGAGTGGGTGGAGTGGAGAAGACGCTGTGCCCCCCCCCCCGCAGGGGTTCCTGTCACGTGACCCCAACCCCACTCCCTCACAGCCCAGCCTAGTGTGCGGGAGCTGGTCACAGGAGGGGTCTCCTCGGGGAGCTTGGTCACTGTCCCTTCTTGCGGTGTGGAGGTAAGAACGGTGAGAGGGCAAAGAATTAAGGCGAGGGCTGTAGATGGCCTCCTCCCCGGGCGGTTTGGGGGGTTCGCCTTTTCTCAGGAGTGGGGATGTAGCCACGCCTCCTATTCTCGGTCCCTTAAGACCAGAGATGACCCATGCTGGACGAGAAGGAACACAGAGTGGGGCCCTAGCACATCCAAAGCTGGGGTGTTGCGGGAAGCGGGGTGCTAGGAGCTGTCGGGGTTCAGGACAGGGGTGACTTCCTAAGAAGCCAATCAGCTCCGGAAAAGAGCGGCGATTGCGTTTTTTTTTTCCCCCAAAGCTTAAGATTCATGACAGCCGGCCTTTTGCCTTGTCTGTGGCTTCTCTCTGCTCACATCCCGGAGGCCCTTCACCGCGTTTGGCGGGCTTCGGTCGTGTGTCTTTGCGGGGTGGCATGGCACGGCCCCGGCTCGGACCCCAGCAGGCTTCTTTTCACCTGTGGGCATTGGCAGGGCCAAGGCGAAGCTCACCGCCGGGCCCCCCTCGTTCGGCCTGCGAGCCAGGATCCTGCCTCTCTGTCCCGCGCCGCGCCCACCGGGATGTTTCGCCAGTGTTCAGTGGCGTCGGGGCCGGCTCCCCGAAGGCCTGAACCCCAGGCGGCGGCCGACGAGCTGTGGGAGCAAGAGGTGGAGCGGCTGTGCGCCTCCCGGGAGCCGCTGCGGACGCTGCCCTACGCCATGGCTGACAAGCGCTTCATCCGGTGGGTGCTGCTCGCATACGCCGGCCGAGCTGAGCTGGGGGCGGGGGAGCGCCCGGGGACGCACCTGCCCGGTGGGTGACTCAAGGGCGCCCCCATCCCCACGGTCCTGCAGGGAACTGCGGGAGCCCGAGGGGGTGAAGACCTCCTGCCGGCTGCGGTGGCACCGCAGGTCGAAGGTGGCGCGACAGCACCTGACCGAGGCGGCGCAGCGGCTGGCCCGTGGCTTCGGGCTCTGGGAGGGAGCTCTCTACGAGATCGGGGGTATGATCCCGTGCCGACCCTCACTTCCCACCTCCCTAGTCAGCCCCTGCATCTTTGTACACCCCTTGGATCCCTCCCTTGCACACCTAGGTGGGTGACAGCCCTCTGGGGGCCGTGGAGGGACCTCGCTAATATGGCCCTGGGTTGTCCCCCCACACACACTCACACACATCCCACAACCCTGGGGTTCTCAATGTGGTCCTCCATTTTTCTCCCATAGGCATCTTCGGGACCGGTATCCAGTCCTACTTCACTTTCCTCCGCTTCCTGCTGCTGCTCAACCTGTTGACCCTGTTGCTGACCGCCTGCTTGGTGCTGTGGCCCCTGCTCTGGCTCCGCCCCCCTGAGCCGGGCCCTGCCCTGAATCTGAGTGAGTACTGGGATTGCCCTGACCTCGTGGGCCTCAGCGTGGGCATGCTGCATGGGCTAGCCCTGGACTCTCCTTGACAAGATCTGCGTGGATGCCTCCCACCACAATCTCAGACAGCCGCAGTAGTAGGGTAGGGGCAATGGGGTTGGACGATTGAGGGTCACGTGATGCTGTTCTCTTCCTCCTCAGCGGACCTCCAGTGCTCTGGCAGCCACCTGCCCCAGAGTGGCATTCCAAGGTTCCACAACCCACTGTGGAATATTTTAACTGGCAGGGTGAGTGAAGTCTCCACTGGCTATGCTCTGGTGCACCTGGGCGACTCCAGTCTGAAAGGACCCCTGCTCCTCAAGAGACATTTTGGCTTTTAAAGAAGAGCCTTACACAGGCCAGCCAGGCCAGACGTACGGTTCCCTATGTCTGACCCATAGAACCCAGCTTGGAGCAAGAGAAAAATGGGGGAAAGTGCCCGGGCCTCTAAGATAAGTAAGCACTTCCCACTGGGCGTGGTGGCACACATCTTTAACCCCAGCAGAAGCAGGCAGAGCTCTTGAGGTTTGAGGCCAGCCTGGTCTATATAATGAGTTCCAGGACAGCAGGGCTACACAGGGAAACCCTGTCTGGGTTGGGGGCAGGGGAAGCACCCCCCAATCCTTGGAGAGCCCTGAGCCAGAGTCTTGAGTCCTGGATCCAAATCTGCCCCACCTTTGGCAGGACACCTAGCTTCTCTGGGTGTCTGTAAAACAGGGATATCATTAGCCAGGAAGCCCTTAGAACAGGGCCCAGCACTGGCCTGCATTCACGTGCCCTCGTGTGTCCCCAGGCCTTCAACAACACCTATCTCTTCTACGGCGCCTATCGGGCGGGGCCAGAGGGCAGCTCAGCATACAGCATCCGCCTGGCCTACCTCCTTAGCCCCATGGTCTGCCTGCTCCTCTGCTTCTGCGGGACGCTGCGGCGGTGAGGGAAGACCCCATGTCCCCTCCATCCTTGGCCGTCCCTCCCAGGGCAAGGAGACCCTCAGGTGGCAGATAGATCTCTGTGCAGCAAGGCTCATCCTGGTCCCCCAGCTTGGCCTCTGTACAGTGAGGCTGGCACCCAAGAACAGAGGTCCCTGCCCCAACTTTCAGAGGCCAGAATCCCGGCCAAGCCCCTGCTGAGAGTGGAGGAACCCCCACAGCAGTCCTCCCCCTCCTCCAGGATGGCAGAGGGGTTTCCACAGCAGTCGCTCCTGGGTCAGGGCTACAGGGCCCCCCTCAGTGCCAAAGTCTTCTCCTCCTGGGACTTCTGCATCCGGGTTCGGGAAGCCGCCACCATCAAGAAGCACGAAATCAGCAATGAACTGAAGGTGTGTGCCAGGCAGAGTGCACGTGTGTGGTGCTGAAAGTAGAGGGTGCTGGGCTGTGTGAGTGTGTAAGTCTGTATGCAGGGTGTGAAAGCATTGTGACTGTTTTCAGGAGTTTTTTGTTTTGTGTTTGTTTGGTTGGTTGGTTGGTTTGGTTTTGGTTTGGTTTTTTTTGAGACAGGGTTTCTCTGTGTAACCTTGGCTAACTGGGATTCGCTTTGTAGACCAGGCTGGCCTCGAACTCACAGACATCAGCCAACCTCTGTCTCCCAGAGTGATGGGACGGACAGTGTATTTAAATGAGGACAAATGTGATTGGCTCAGTGTGTGACTCGAGCAAGGGTGACCAGGTGCCAGCGTGAACCAGCCGGGTATGAGAACACGTAAATGTTATAAGAAAGTGTGGTACACAGCTTTCATCCCAGCCCTTGGGAGGCAGAGGCAGGAGGATCTCTTGATTTCCAGGTCAGCCAGGGCTACATAGTGAGGCCCTGTCTTAAAATAAATAAATAGATAAGTGTGTCTAGGTACGATGTACTTGTCTGATCCTAGCACTCGGGAGGCTGAGGCAGGAGTTTGTGGGCTAACCTAGGCTACCATTGCGTAAGTGCTAGGCCAGCCGGGGTTGTGAGACAAGACCCTGTGCCATCAGCTAGGGGTTGGCAGGATGGCTCTTCAGGTAAAGGGCCTTGCTGTGGAGACTGCCAGCTTGATGTTTATCTCTGGAACCCACATGGTGAGGGGAAAGAGCCAGCACAACTCCTGAGAGTTGTGCTCTGACTTCCATGTGAGCACTGTGGCGTTCACGGGCGCATGCACACACACACCTGCATGAGTGTGGATCTGAGTGAGGGAGTGTGTGATTAGTGGTGGCTGGTGACAGGGTGGGTGTGGGCATGCAGACCTTCAGGGCCCCTCCCCTCCTGCCTCCAGGTGGAGCTGGAAGAGGGCCACCGCCTGGAGCTGGCTCAACAGCGGACGCGGGCCCAGAAGGCCTGCCACCTGCTCACCTACCTTCGAACCAACATCTTCTTTGCACTCCTTGTGGTCGGAGCCATCAGCGCCATCTTCTGGGCCACTAAGTACTCACAGGACAACAAGGAGGTGTGTGTGCTGCTTTTCTGGTGGGAGCTGTGGGAGGAGCTAGGTGACCCCACTTTGCAGATGGGAAAGTGGAGGCTCAGGTCAAGGCCCTGCGCGTGAGCAGCATCTTTGGAACTCTGACCTCCCCTCCTTTTCCCCACAGGAGTCCCTTTTTCTGGTGCTCCAGTACCTGCCCCCTGGAGTCATCTCCCTGGTCAACTTCCTGGGTCCTCAACTGTTCACAGTGCTGGTCCAGCTGGAGGACTACTCTCCTAGCACTGAGGTCAACCTCACCCTCATCTGGTGAGCATCTGGGGGTGCAGCATTGTGGTCCCAGGTCCTGAGCTGAGAGTCTCTGTTACACCACCAGAGGGGAGGTGGGCGGTGCTTCTGGACCATTCAGCCTCAGGGACCTGTGTCTGAGGCCTCACCTGAAGGGAGCCCTCACACTGCACCAAAGAGGGGCCCATTCAGAGGGGTGGGGGTGCTGTTTGGCCTTGGGGAGTCAAGAACCAGCTGTGAACACTTTAAAAAACCTGACAATTTGCCAAGTGGTAGTGGCGGCACAGGCCTTTATTCCCAGCACTTGGGAGGCAGAGGCAGGTGGATCTCTCTGAATTTGAGGGCCAGCCTCGTCTACAGAGTGAGGTCCAGGACAGCCAGGTCTATATGGAGAAACCCTGTCTGAAAAAACAGCTGGGCATGATGATGCACACCATTAATTCCAGCATTCTGGAGACAGAAGCAGGCAGTCTCAAGTCTGAGGCCAGGCCTACATAGTGAGTTCCAGGCCAGCCAGGGCTGCATAGTAAATAAAAAAGAATGAAGAAGGTGTCCGAACTGAGGCTCTGAGGACACAGGAAGGTGCAGGGTTTCTCTTGCGGGACTCATCTGAATAAACCGTAAAGCTGGGAGAGAGGGCGGCTGGCTGGTGCAGTATTTCCCAAACTGTAGTTGAGAAACACAACCCATTCCGCGTGAATCATTCCGCATTTTAAGAAACATTGGCGGGAGATGAACCGGGCCTTCCGGAAGGACACTGAGCTCTGAGAGAGGCGCAGAGCCCGGAACGGGAACCCTGCATCTCGGACCCGGCCCACTCTGCTCCAGATAGTCTGGACCGACCCTCTGTCGCATCCCTCGTGTGACGCCTGCCCCTCCCGCAGGTGCGTGGTGCTGAAGCTGGCCAGTTTGGGGATGTTCTCCTTCTCCCTGGGTCAGACTGTGCTTTGCATAGGCAGAAACAAGACCAGCTGCGAGCGCTACGGATACGACGCCTGCGACTACCGGGTGAGCGGCAGCCCCGCCCCTTCCCGCAAAAGCCTCCTTGGGAGTAGCTGGAGGCGGCGCTGCCATGCCACACCGTGCCCCCAGGGGGCGCCCCGAACCACACTCGGGATGTGCTGGAGCTCTCCCGGCTTGGGCATCCTCCGAGACCGCCCTAGCCGCCAACCCACTGCCATCCCCACCCGGCAAGCAAGGGAAGAGCCCCTGGGGGAACCCCAAGGATAACGATGGGTCTCCTCGCTCTGCACTGCAGTGCTGGGAGAACTCGGTGGGCGAAGAGTTATACAAATTAACCATCTTCAACTTCCTGCTCACCGTGGCCTTCGCCTTCCTGGTCAGCCTGCCTCGGAGGTGAGCTGCATGGGGACGCCCCAGGGGACGGCTGGAGGCCACAGCCATGCGTGAGCGAGGGGTGTCCCCACGAGTGAGCGAGGTCCGTGTGTCTCGCGTACCTGGAGTGTACCCGGACCCTCCTACCCCAGGCTGCTAGTGGAGCGCTTCTCAGGCCGGTTCTGGACTTGGCTGGACCGGGAGGAGTTCCTGGTGCCCAAGAATGTGCTGGACATCGTGGCTGCACAGACCATCACCTGGATGGGCCTCTTCTACTGCCCCCTGCTCCCGCTGCTTAACAGTGTCTTCCTGTTTCTCACCTTCTACATCAAGAAGGTGAGGGGGTTGGGACAGGCAGCCCCTGTGCACCCTGAGCGCTTCATCACAGAACACTCGGTAAGTCCTGTTACCCGCACCTCCAGTACACCCTCCTGAGGAACTCCAGGGTATCCCCAAGGCTTTTCCGAGCGTCCAGCACCACTTTCTTCTTCCAACTGGTCCTGCTCTTCGGCTTGCTCTTGGCTGCAGCTCCTCTGGCCTACGTCATCAGCAGGTGATGGAGGCCTTCGGCTGGGAGGCTGGTCCAGCCACTCCCACCGCAGGCTCTGACAACCCTGCCCACTCCCATCTCTACAGCACCCACTCCTCCTGGGACTGCGGCCTTTTCACCAACTATTCGGCCCCCTGGCAGGTGGTACCGGAGCTGGTGGCTCTCCAGCTTCCGCTCCCTGGCCAGCGTGCCCTCCACTACCTTGGCTCCCATGCCTTCAGCTTCCCCCTCCTTATCCTGCTCAGGTGAGTCTAGACAGCAGGGACGGAGGGAGAAACCCCAGGGGTCTCCTTCCTTTCCCAGGGGTGGTGTACGTCTGAGGATATCTAGACAGAGTCCTGGGGTTCAAGAACCAGGGAAACGGGGACTCAAAGATACAAAGAGACGTGACCTGGGGTCATACTTTAGGCACCTCTGTGCTCCTAAGAGGCCATGAGGACTGCGTGGCCACTGAGGAAACACAGCCCTGGTGAACCAGTCTTGCGGCGCCAGAAAATGCAGAGTGAGCTGCTGTGGGAAGAAGGGGAGGTCTTCAGATAAAGCAGTGTGCACGGAGCTCTGAGACTGAGACAGCAGAGCTGGTGTGCTGGTGCGCGGCTGCTAGCCCAGCACCCAGGAGCCCGAGGCAGGAGGATTGCTGTGAATCTGAGGCCACCCTCCATACAGAGTGAGCTCCAGGCCAGCCTGGGCTACGTGACAAGACTATCTCAAAGATAGAGACGAGGGGCGGGTCAAGAAAGTCAGGTGGGGATGCCCGTGGCCTTCGAGGTGACTGACTGGAGTCCTATCTGCTTTAGCCTGGTTCTGACTGTGTGCATCTCCCAGTCCCGGGCGAACGCCAGAGCTATCCATGGGCTGCGCAAGCAGCTGATGTGGGTGAGTGGCTCCATTGCGGCCTTGAGGAGCGTGTACCAGACCGGAGGACGGGGCTGGGGAGGGTGTGGGTTTTCTCCCCTGTGGCGGGTGTCAAGACACCTCAGCTCCTGTGACGAGACAGCCAACTTTGGTGGAGGCGCGGCCTTGAGTTGAAGCAAAGCCTTAGGTCGTGGGCGCGTTCTGAGTCCCGGCTAGGATGTGTTGGGGGCGGGGCCACGTTGCTTCCTAGGTTAGGGGCGGAGCTTCGAGGTGGCCTGTTTTGAGACCAAGTCCTGGCGGGGGCGTGACCTCAGGTTGTTTTGTGGGCGTGGTTTCTGGCTTGTGTCAAGCAGACTTCCGCCTCTCGCTTCTCCTGCAGCAGGTCCAGGAGAAGTGGCACCTGGTGGACGACCTGTCGCGGTTGCTGCCGGAGCTGAGCCCGGAGCCCGACTCCCCTCACTCTCGAGCTTCGCGTCCACGGTCCTTCTGCCCGGGGTTCCCGTGCCCAGGCTCACCTGGTCCCAGGACACCCCGGCTGGGACCCTCCACCAGGCTGAGCTCCTCAAGCTCCGGTGCCTCGGTTCCCGCCTCCAGATTTCACTTCCCCAGCCACACAGAGCTGTAGCGCCCGCCCCCACCTCCCCTGGCTCTGCCGCAGCTTCCTCCAGGGCCTCCTGCACCCCCACCTCCTTACCCCACAACATCTGGCCTGCGGAACCACTGCGTACTGGGCCTGTGTCAGGTTCACCAAAGTGGGCCACGTCCTCAGGTCAGCAGGAAGAATGTGAGAATCTCTACCTCCGTTTTATTTGTATCTCATCCCTTAAAATGTTTTGAGTGTTTTATAGTGTACATAATAGTGTGTATATTAAGTTAAAGATGCGATTTATAAATGTACTTTTTTTTGAGACACTCAAATTTCTTGGGAAGGGGTTGCTGTCAGAAATGTGTGTATACCTCTCTCCATGATGCTGCAAGATGCAAGAGCTGGTCCGGAACATACCTGGACCCCCACATTGTACCATCAGCTTTAGCCTCACCTGCCTGCGCGCTCAGCAGCGGCCAGGCTTGAACCAGACACGTGGGCTCCAAAGCCACACTAAACCAGGGCGGGGCTCTGGGGCCACTCCTTCGTGAGAGTGGCTTGCTGAAGTTGAATCTCTCAGGGAGATCGGATCAGGGTCCATGGCCACACGTCTGTAGAACACTGTTCTCTGAGCCGTCCCTGTGAGCCGGCTTGGAGTCCTTGAGGGGTGAAAGTGCACCCCTGCCAGGGTCCCAGTGGCAGGTTCCTGCACTTCGACACCTGTGGAGGGTATGCTGTGGGAGGTGACCCCGGGAGGGCATATGTTCCTGGGGGTGACAAAGGCAGGGCAGGGGTGTGACCTGGAGCTCTGCCTGAGACTCTTCGTAATACCCCCATCTCCTGCTGCAGTGACTTTGAACCCACAGCACTGAAGAAAATTGCTATAAAGTTCAGAAGCTAACAGAGCCTACTGACTGATCCAGATATAGCCAGGCGTGGGGACAGTTTTTGTTTCGGGATTTTGGTTGGTGTTTTGGGTTTTTTGTTGTCTGATTCAAGACAAAAGAGTCTCCCTGTATATCCCTGACTGTCCTGGGCTCACTATGCACATCAGGCTGGCCTCAAGCTCACAGAGATCCTCCTGCCTCTGCCTCCCAAGTGCTGGGGTTAAAATCATGCTCCAGGTTCCCTGGGGACATTTTAAAGCATGCAGATGCAAGCAGCTAGGTTTTGAACTGCTACAGGGGGTCGGGGAGAACCCCAAGAGATGCTTGGGGCTCTCGGAAATGGAGCCAGTGCTGGCCAGGAGGTCCTGCTCCTCCTGCCTCCACTTCGCCCCAGCCTGCAGCGCCTGCCTGGATTTCTGTCAGGGAGGCTGGAGTCTGAAGACCTGGCCAGTTCAGGCCCTCCTGTGGCTGACCTTGCCTCGCTTGTCTGTCCATCACATGACCTCTCCCTCCCACCTGTAATCACATACCCCTTAAACGCTTCTAAATGCCAGGGTTTCGGCGGCATGTGCAGGTCCACGCTTTGAGACGTGTAGTAGGAGGTGACCCTACTCCTCGGGCCACATGGGGCAGGGCAGGGCAGGGGTGCAGGGTCCTGTCCCTGGGGCAACGAGAGTCGGAGGGGCACAGGCAGGCGTGGGTGCTCAGGTAGAGGAAGGTCACAAAGCACAAACCGTGCAGGGGAAGATGAGCAGCTTTTAGGGCAGCAGCTGCAGCTGCACAGTCGCCTGGGACCAGGCTGGACACAGATCCCTCAGCCCGCTCTTCTAAATCATGGGCTCTAAGGGCCAGCAAGAGTGCTGTCTTCTTGGTCCATTTGTGGCTCTTCATTTATGGTCTTTTTTTTTTTCCAACAAGGCTGATGGCTCACACCTGTTAGTCAAACACTTGGGGAAGCTGAGGCAGGAGGATTATGAGGTTGAGGTCAGCCTAGACTACACAGCAAGACCTTATCTCAAAAACTGCACAGCACAGTGGCACATGCATGGAACCCCATTCCTCAGGAGGCAGAGGCAGCAGGATAGCCATAATTTTGAGGCTAGCCTGGTCTACATAGTGAGTTACAGGCCAGCCAGGGCACAGGGTAGAATTTTATCAAATGTATCCAAAAAATGGCCAGGCATTGGTGGCATTCCCCTTTAATCTCAGTACTCTGGAGGCAGGTAGGTGGGCCTCTGTAGGTTCAAATTCAGGCCTGGTCCATTTAGTGGATTCCAGGACAACCTACAAAGTGAGACCCTGCCTCAAACAAACAAAAAAATAAAATAAAAATTACCTAAAAATAACATTACCATAAACCTGAACGAGAAATTCTAAAGGTGTGCTCAAAAGACCCAAGCGGGAGGGGCGGGAGGGGCAGGCCCGGGACTTGAGACCTGCTGCTGCCTCCAACCAGAAGACAAGGGAGGGGGGCTCAGGAGAAAGGGCATGGGCAGGGATTGGCAGGCAGCGTCTGAGAAGGGTTGGGCAGCCGCTGGAAAGAGGTGGCTGAGGCAATCTCTGCCGCATGGCCCAGGGCTTAGATGACGGGCGCTACCGGAAATGATGTGTCTGCCTGGCTAGCCCAAGGCCACATTAGTGAGAACCTGTCTCAACAGTAAATAAATAAGGGGTGGAGAGATGGCGGGCGCAGCCAGCAAGAGCTCCTGCAGAGCGCTGGCAGAGGACCCGGATCAGTTCCCAGCACTCACATGTTGGCTCACAACCACCTGTAGCTCCAGTGCCAGGGGATCCAACACCTTTTTCTGATTGCCATGGGGTACACACAGGGGTACACACGTGGTGGACACGTATGTACTCAGGCACAGACACCTGTTTGTAAAATACAAAATTTTAAATATAAAAAAATTTTTTGAAGAAAAGGAATTTTGTGGGGACTTTAGTCAAACTGCTCTCCCCTTCCCACAGTTCCAATTGGAGAAACTCACAGAGGTGGGCATGTCAAGCTTCTGTAGATCCCCCAAGAATGGCAAGAGGGGACCAGCCTTGGGTGGCCTTCCTAGAGGGCAGGGCTGGGCCAGGGGTTTGGTATATTTGCCAGGCAGGCTCTATGGAGCTGTGACCTGGCAGCAGGGGACCTCAGCTGTGAAGAAACTGCCTGAGTGGGTGCTTCCTGAGCAGTCACTAAGCCAGCTCAGAAAGCCACAGGCTGCTCCGCAGAAGTCCAGCCACACCGGTGGGCAGATATGCTTGGCCTCCCAAGGGGTAGCATGTTCTAGTACCCATCTCACCTGCTTCCTTGACTCTCTGTGTCCCTCAGGCCCTGTGGGTCCAGCCCTAGGGTTGGAAGGGCCTGCACTGCCCAGGCCACACCACTGTTGGTGGCATGGCCAACTATGCTTTGTCCAGGTTAGACTGGGTCCAGGTCCTTAGTGGACGGACTTGCCCTTCTCTAGACTCCTTTAAGGACAAGACTCGGACACAGGGCTTCACACTGTCAGGTGACGGAGAGCCTCATCCTGCCTGAGGTCTAACGTGGAGACAAGCAACGCAGCAGCTATGGTAGATACCTGATGATGTGGACCCAAGGGCCTCTCCTCCCTGCCCCTTTGCGGAAACCCACTGACCCCCCTAGTCACCCTGACGAAGAAAGCACTTGTGTTGCCATTAGACCCGCCCAGATGCCCAGGGTAATCCCCTGTCCCAAACTCAGCAGGCACAACCTTACTCCCTACAGGGGGAGGGCACAGACATCCCCAAGCCAGCCCTCCAGGGTACGGGGCCCCCCTGGATAGCCACAACCTTCAAGTTATCTTCTAGCTGCAGACAGCCACCCAAGGAGCATCCAGGGGCCTTAGGGTGGAGAGACCAGGCTAGGAAGCTTTCAGCAGCCTGAGCCAGAGGCCCGGTACAGCGTCAGTTCACGGAAGCATGGGACTTCTTCAGCTGCTCTTCCTGGCTGTTCTGGGTGAGTCTCCTCCAGAGATCATGGGGAGGGCCCAGAGGAAGCAAGCTCAGGCAGAGGAGTGTTAGAGAGTCCAGGGCAGAGAAACCCAAGGTGTGACAGTCTGGAAGCCAGAGGGAGAGAGGGAGAATGTGGGAGGCTCTGAGCAATATGTCGACGCTTCAGCCTGTGCACATATGACCTTGTTGCGGTATCATCTGCCATTTAATGATTCCACTGGGGTGTGTGTATGTGTGTGTGTGTGTGTGTATATAGTGTGAGTGTGTGAGTGTGCCAATGTGGATGTAAATGGAAGCCAGACATTAAGGTCCAGTGTCCTCCTCAATCACTTCCTCACGTTTTCTGAGGCAAAGGCTCTCACTAGCCTGACGCTTGCTGTTTCAGCTAGCCAGTGAGCCCCAGAAATTCACCTTTCTCTACCCTGCTCCCCCAACACTGGAGTTAAAACATGCACATGCCCAGCATTTTTGGTGGATACTGGGACCTTAAACCTAGGTCCTCGGTCTGCGCTTTCCTCACTGAGCCATCTCCCCAGCCCCGATTCCCACGAACTCTAGTGGGCATTCCAAAGGTGAGACTGCAAAAGAGACTAAACTGGGCTGATGGTACACGCAGATGATCTCAGCACTCAGGAAGTGGAGACAGGAAGATCAGGAGTCCCAGGCCACCCTCAGGTACATAGTGAATTCAAAGCCAGCCTTGAGTGCAGGAGAGAGCTGACTGGTCCCTGCCGCCTCACATGAGGCATCAGCCTGCGCAGGAAGTGTCTGGGCCGTCTCCCTCCTCTCTCCAGCCTCCCTCACCCCTCTCCTCTTCTACAGCTGCCTGTGGCTTCTCAGAGGAGCAGACAGAAGGTGAGTAGCCCCCATGCTGCAGGGAAAGGGTCCAGCTGGGGACGCCTCACCCGGAGCTGCGCACCTGTGGCACGTGCCTTGGCTGGAAAGAGGTTATTGAGGGTGAGGACCCAGATGGGTAATTCCAGCCTCCACCTCTGCAGGGCTTGATGGGACCGTTCTGGGGCCTCTAGGGCACATGGAGAAAGGAGTTTGGAGGGTGTGGGGAGGAATTCTCAGCTTTGTTCTGGTCACAGGGCCCAGGTCCTCATGGGGAGCAGAAGGCACCTGCTCCAAGCCCCACAGCTGTGCCTGATGGGTGGGATCCAGAGAAGGTGAGGGGGTTCTAGTGTGCGCTTATGGTTGTGGGGAGGCCTCAGGAGAGGAGGAGGGTGGTGAGGGAGCCAGGATCTTCAGGGAACTTAGAGACTAAGCTGCTTTGCTCTGGAAGCAGCTGAGAGTGAGTGTTCACTCTTTCTCTCTCTCTGTGTGTGTGTGTGTGTGTGTGAGAGAGAGAGAGAGAGAGAGCAAGAGAGAAAGAGAGAGAGAGAGAGAGAGATGCCTGGTGGAGGCCGGCAGCTCTGTCTAGTCTTCCACCTGCGTCCCTGCCTGGGCGGGCGTCCCCTTCTGTTCTGCTTAAGGGAGGGTTCAGGGTGGCGCTGACACAGCTCTCGCTCGGATGAGGCACAGACCAAACTACCATTTCCTCATTTTCTGTAAAAAAAGAAAAAGTTTATTAGTGTCACAGCTAAAAAGAGAGCTGGTGGCTGGGTCTCAGGAAAGTACCTGGGCAGAAGCAGTCCTGCCTTCCTGCGCCCTCAACCCATGGCCTCTGCTCAGCTCTGCTGATGGGGTCCTGCTGAGGGAAGCTTCTGGAAAGCTGGCTGATCTCTTTCTCCCTCACAAATCCTCTTGGCAGATGTTTGGTTGTTAGCACTGTTCTGGGACTCCTCAGGCTAAAACCAGGTTCAAAAAGAAAACCCAGCCTCCCCTTCGGAAAGAGGGAATAAGGGCTCCAGGCTGTTAGAATTAAGAGCATCTGTGGGTGATGGAAGGTGCAAGGTCATCCTCAGCAAGGTGGAGCCTAGCCTGGGCTACAGTGAGACCCTGTCTTTAAACAGAGGGAGGGGGTGTCAGTCTGGTTGCACACCTTTGTCAGTCTCAGCACTCAGAAGGCAGAGGCTGGAGGATCTCTGTGAGTTCCAGACCAGCCTGGGCTACACAGTGGGTTGCAGGATAGCCAGAGGGGCTACACAGAGAAACCCTGTCTCAAAAAAATGAAACCCAGTCAACCAACCAACAATAACACCGCAGCAGCTATCACTGCAGCAGGCTCACTGTGGAGAGAGACCTTTCTTATTTTCTCCTATGGAAGCAAACCATACTTTCTCATGCCTTTATTCCCAGCCACCGAAATGGACATGAGAGGGCTTGGCTGGCTTTTCACTTGTACAAGCCAAGCTCTTCGCCCTTCATGAAGGAAGGAGGGAAACAAAAAGACATGTAACCACAGTTTGGGCTTGAACTCATTCTCCCAGGGAGGCAGAGTCCATCCCGACACCTTCTTTGTACCCTGATGAGATCTGTTGTCCCCAAAGATTAAGCTGCCAGAACTCCTGTCAGACACTGTCATTAGGTCCAGAATCTCAAACTGAAAATCTAGCTTGATTAAAAAAAAAAAAAAAATCCCCTCACTTAATGATGTTTACCAAAAGCCATGGAAGAGGCAGGCTTTGTTGGGGGCAGGCAGCTCGAAGGGATTGCTCTTGGGCTCACAGGATCCCTGCTGTGGGGTGTGGGATCTCTGGCCTTAGTCCTAGCAGCAATGCCAGCAGACACAAAGTTCCCCTGAGGGGAACATGGGAATAAGGATCTGAAAGAAGGTGTGTGTAGCGGTTGATGGCTGGGGACTCCCAGGAAACGTCTGTGACAGCCTGCAGCTCCTCCTCCACAGGCTTTTTCTGACCATGGTCGGTACAGTTTCCAGGTGGCCCGGTAGAGCAAGGGCAGCGTGTACACTCTGGGATGTAAATTATTTCCTTCTCTATCTCCTCCTCCTCCTCTTTGAGTCAGGGTTTCCTGGAACTATGTAGACCAGACTAGCCTTACACTCATAAAGATCTGCCTCCCAGAGGCTGAGATTAAAGGTGTGCACCACCATGCCTGGTGTGTGTGTCTGTGTGTGTCTGTGTACCACGCACACGCACACAGGGTCCACCGGTGTACTTCCTCTGGAAGTTACAGGCCACTGTATGACTCTGAGCGACAAGTTCTGTTGACTGCTGAGCCTGCTCTCCAGCTACTTCCCCGCAGCCTAGTCCCCCTGCTATTATTTTTTAAAGATTTATTTTTCTCATTTTCAGTTTTTTGTGTATACGTGCCCTGCATCTTTGCAAGTGAGTGTCACTTGTGTAGGCATGCCCGAGAGGGCTAGAAGAGGAATTGGATCCCCTGGAACTAGACTTAAAGGCAGGTAGAGGCTGGCTGGTGGGAGTGCTAGCAACCCAGCTCTGGCCCTCTGCGGGAGCAGCAAGCGTCCTTAACCACTGAGCCACCCCCAACCCCTCCAAACCAGACAAAGCAGACAAAAGTGTTCTTATCCAGCAGTTTCCCTCAGGTCTGGCCTCTTGGAAGTGGAGTCTTGTCACTGTGGAGCTGGAGCATGTGAGGGGCTCATTTCTTCTTTTGACCTCCCTGGAACTCAAGCACTCGGCAGGCACAGGCTCTGCTGGGGCATGATACCTCCAGACCCTTCCTGGTCCTTAACCAGACCATGTTCCTTGCATAGATCTTGGCCAAGGGTCAAGGGGTCTGAAGCCATTTCCACCTCTTGTCAGCTTTGGCACATGAGTAATGGGTCTGCCCGAGTCTGAGTCTGTCTTTGAGTTTGTTGGGATGTGTCTAGGGGTACAACAGCTGAGTCCTCACTAATTCTTTTACCCACCCACCCCTTTTATGGTGCTGAAGAGAGAACCCAGGGTCTTAGGATTGTTAGCCTGATATTCAAGCACTGAAACATACCCTCAGCCCCTAAGTTTACACTAATTTCAAGTTTTTATTTGTTTACATGTGTATGTATCTGCATGGGCTTATGTGAATCACCCTGAGGCCAGGAGAGCTTGTCAGCCCCTGAGACCTGCAGCTGCAGGCATTTGTGAGCTGACTAGACAAGAACCAAACCCCAAGCCCTCTGGAAGTGCTGCTCTTGAGCACCGAGCCTTCTGTGGAGTTCCAGTTATTAACTTTTTTGCGGGACTGTTAAGCCTGAGTTTCCCTGAGGTGTCTGATCCATCTCATTTCTCTCTTTCCCTGGCTGGCTCGCCTCCCAGACATCACCATAGCCTACAAAGTGCTGGACGTTTATCCCCAGAGCCGTCACGTGCTTATAACCTGTGACATCCCCGAGGCGCCCCGGCCCGTCACTTACTCTCTCATGGCCAGCCAAGGTGTCCTGGTGAGGAGAAGGGTTGTGAGTGACCACAAGCCAGCCTCCTTCAACATCAACATCACACTTAAGCCCAACCCAGACCTGCTCACCTACTCCTGCCAGGCAGCCTCGACCTTGGGCACCTACGGGCCCAGCACCAGGCTACAGATGTACTGGGAGCTGTGGGCCAGTGAGTATGGGCTGGGGGTGGGGGTGGGGTGCTGGCTGGTGAGGTGGGTGGGATGTAGGTCAATGGAGGGTCTGGGGGAAGGAATGGTGGACTTGGAGATGGGGACATTAGAGGAGAGAGAAGAAGAAGGCAGCAAAGTGGCGACAGAAGGCAGATGGCTGTGCTATGGTGACCGAGGACAGTCTCCAGGCAGGAGCCAGAAGGCACAGTGCAGCCTGACGTGGGGCTGGTAATCAAGGCCCTGCTGTTGTCTATCTCGTCCACAACCCCAGGGAGGCTCTCTATCAGGTCCTCCACTGTCACCGTGGAAACTGAAGTTCTCTTGAGGTTGAGGGCCTTGCTTGACAACCTGCAAGTGGCCACATCTGGTTCCACCTCACACTACCCACTCCAGACCTTTCTTTCTTCCCTTTCTGCCCCAGCTGCCACTCCCTTGTTACTAGGAACAAGAAAGTGTTGCTAGCCTCTGTGGGTCCAGCATGCCTACCCCTTAAAAACACCAAGGGGTTTTTTAGAGAGCCTAAAAGAGGGCACGCAGGGCCTGCGGTTGTGGCGCACACCTTTAATTTCAGCACTTGGGAAGTGGAGGAGGTAGATCTCTGAGTTCGAGGGCAGCCTGGTCTACAAAAGTGAGTTCCAGGACAGCCAGGCCTACACAGAGAAACCCTGTCTCAGAAAAACAAAAACAAACAAAAACCCGCACAGGGTCTGAGGCCCAGCAGCTGGAAGGCTGGGGTCGCTGCACGAGCTGGCTGTGTGGTTGTGGACAGGTCTCTCAACATCTGGGCCTCAGTTGCTTTGCGTGTGAAGCAAGATGATAACGGGGCCACCCCGGGTGCTTAGCAAGGCTTGTGGGAGGTTGTGGTCTGCACCAGTGAGGTGGAGACCAGGCAGAGGACAGCTAGCTGCCAGTCAGGAGGGGTGCTCAGATCGTCTGGCTGAAACTCCAGCACCCTGATTCTTCTAAGAGTCAGCTCTTGTCCTGAAGGAGTTTCCTTACACCAAGAGCTAACACTGCCATCCTGCTTTATAGCGCTCGCCCTTGATCCCTGAGCTGGAGGTGTGTCGGGCCAGGCGAGCACCTAATCACTGTGCTGCACAGCTAGCCTAGCTTCAAGACTGATTTTTACTTTATGTGTATGAGTGTTTTGCCTGTTTGTCTGTGCAGCACATATGTGCAGTGCCGTGGAGGCCGGATGTGAACATCAGAGCCCATGGGACTGGAGTTATAAACCACTCTCAGCCGCCAAGTGGGTTCTGAGAACCAAACTGGGGCTCCTCGAGACAGCAAGTACTTTATTGTTTTGTTCTGCTTTGTTTCTTTGAGACAGGGTTTCTCTGTGTAGACCAGCCTGTCCTTGAACTCAGAGACCCACCTACCTCTGCCTCCTGAGCGCTGGAATTAAAGGGGTGCGCCACCACTGCCTGGCTGCAGTAAGCACCCTTAACGGCTGAGTCATCTCTCCAGCTCCTGGATTTATATATTCATTCATTTATTTGTTATTTTCTGCCCCAGAGCCTTGAGAGCTAGGATTTCAGGCACTTTTTGCCATGTCCTGTCAGCTCACTATTTAGGAACTTAAACGGAAAGCAAGCTGCCTGGGAAAGCTGACCGCTCTCTCTGTCTTCTCAGATAAACTGCTCAGTGTTACTTGGTGATGTGGGACTTAGCTCTTGTGACTCCATCTTTATTTTTAGAACTGGTCCCCACAAGAGGTTACTCCAAAACAACTTTAAAAATTACTCAACAGTGCCAGGTGCATGCCTTCAATCCCAGCACTCAGGAGGCAGAGGCAGGCAGATCTCTGTGATCAAGGCCAGCCTGGTCTACATAGTGAGTTCAAGGACAGCCAGAGCCATGTAGAGAGACCCTGTTTCAAAAGCAGCAGCAACAGCAAAAGAATTTCTTTAAATGCATCGTGAAGATAAAATTGTATAGTGTGTACTACAAGCACTCTGGAAGCCTAGGCATGTGCGGAAGGCACTCCGGCAGGCTGCCTGGGGGAGGAGGAGGCAGTCACAACTAAGTCTTCGGGTTCCTTTGACATATAAGGAGGAGAATTTTTGTTTTTGTTTTTGAAGATAGGGTTTCTCTGTGTATCCTGCCTGTCCTGGAACTCAGTGATATGCCTGTCTCTGCCTTCCGTGCGCTGGGCTTAAAGGTGTGCGCCAACCCCACCCCACAAGCTAAGGGGGAGAACTTCTCAGGACTGTGAAAAGCTTTCCCATCACACCTATGCTACCCTTTTGCGCCTGCCAGAGCCTGTGTCTCAGCTGCAGACTGACTACATCCTGTACCATGGTGACTCAGGCCCCACTGTGGCGTTCTCCTGCGTGGCACCCTCAGGCAGTCCGCCCATCACCTACCGCCTGGTGGGGGATGACGGGCATGTCCACGCCCAGCAAAGGCCGGTCCATGGGAAACCTGCCAACTTCTCCGTCCTGCTGTCCCAGACCTCGGGCTGGTTCCACTGCGAAGCTGCCAACAGCATCAGTGTCGATAGCAGCGCCCGCGTCCTGCTGCTCCCAGGTGAGCTTGGAGTGGGGTCTACAGCCTTGTCTAGGGAGGCCGTAAGGGCGGGGAACAGCAGAACCAGGCCCCTGCCCAGTGCAGAACAGGCCCAAGGGCTGCCGCAGGCCTTTCTTGCCCCTTGCCCAGCAGAAGCCTGACCCAGCCTCCTTAACACACACACAGAGAAGCTGCCCCTGGCAGCCACCTGCATCCTGGCTGGTAGCCTTGTCTCCATTGCAGTCATTAGCTCTGGGATGCTGAGCTCGGCCAGGTAAGCCATGGGGGTTTGCTGTGGGCGAGCGGCTGACCACCTCTGTAAGCAGCCAGTGCCCTGAGTGTTCCCTGAGTGGGAACAGCAGGTTAGTCTTGTGAGGCTGGGTTGCCATCAGGGTACGACAAGGGCCCCACTTGAAGCTGCTTATTAAAGCCGAAGGCCTGCAGGCTCTAGCAAGTTCTTCACCCCACCCCCACCCCAACCATGCCTCCCAGGTGACACCTGGTGGGGGATTTCCCTATGGGTCTCATGGGGCCTCCAGGGTGGGCCAGGAGGTCACGGCAGTCCCACTGGGAGTCTTTCTGCAGAGCTGAGGCCTCCCAGGTCCTCCTCTCCCAAGCCTCTGACCTGCACAGTAGCCAGGGCCTTCGTGTGGTCGGGCTCCAGGCACCGCAGATGCCTATGCACACACTTGTGGCCTTTGGGTGGTGGCCGCTTCTGTCTCCTTGACCATCTCAGCTTGGTGCCTGCTGGACCTTATGGTTCATTCTCCAGAGGCCAGACTCATGGGAGAGCACCCGACCTCTCTGAGACTCATTGTTTTCCTCTATAAAACGGGTCCAGCGGCCTAGCTCCTGCTGACCATGTAACCAGGGAGCAGTGAGTGGCCTCTAGGTGAGTCAGTGCATTTAGCTGGGTGAGTGAGCTTATTGATGCGCTTGGCTGAGTCTGCCTGACCTGGACTGTCAACTCTCTTGTCATCAGGTTGTGACCGGAAGACAGAACCGTGGGGTTGCCTTCCTGCCCTATTCAAGAACCCGCCAATGGAGCAAAAGGGAACCTGGGGGGTGGGGGTAGAAAGAGGGGGAGCAGATTGGGGTACCAAAAGTAGTACACTCCAAAAGGGGTCCAGAAGTCTAGAGCATTAGTGTGAATGGGGCCCAAGGGAATAAAATTGTATTGTGTGGGGGATTCCTGATGGATGAGTGGCTGTTAGTGAGAGGCTCTTGCAACAAGAAAAAAATATGAGTAACTGAGTGGGTGTGCCTGCTCTTTGATGCAGTGGGCCCAGCTTCTTAAACTTCTGGTCACGACCCCATATGGGGTTGCATAACTGAAGAAGTGGGGTCATCAACAATCTGGCAACAGTAACAGGTTTCTGTGTGGGGTGGCTCATACCTATAATCCCAGACCCAAGGAGGTGCAGCAGGAGGGTCAGCAGGAGTTCTGGGTCAGTCTTAGTACATGAGTCTGGTCTCAAAGAGTTAAACAAATACATACATAAAAATAAAAATTGAGCTGCTAAGCCAGGCACTATGGCGCTCGCCTGTAATCCCAGCACTCGGGAGGCAAAGGCAGGCGGATCTCTGTGAGTTCCAGGTCAGCCTGGTCTACAAAGTGAGTCTAGGACAGCCACGGCTACAAAGAGAAACCCTGTCCTGAAAAAAAAAAATAAGTTATTTATTTTTATTTTATATACACTGGTGTTCTGCCTGCATGTATGTCTATGTGTCAGATTCCCTGAAACTGGAATTACACACAGTTGTGAGCTGCCGTGTGGGTGCTGGGAATCAAACCCCAGCCCTGTGGAAGTGCAGCCATCTCTCTAGCTAGATGTGATGGCACACACCTTTGATTCCAGCACTTGGGAGATAGAAGCAGGAGGACCCCTGTGAGTTTGAGGCCAGCCTGGTCTATACAGTGAGTTCCAGGACAGCCAGGCTACATAGTGAGACCCTGTCTCAAAATAAAATAAAACAAAAACCTAAAAAGGGGTCTGTAAGATGAGTGAAGGTGTTTGCTGCCAAGTCTTAGAGCTGGAGTTCAATCCCAGGGACCCCCATTGTGAAGGGAGGCCACCACTCTTACAGGGTGTCCTCTTCACCACCTGTGCCGTGCCCTGTGCCTCCCTCAGCCACCCCAGGATCAGAACAATTAAATAAACGTAATGAAACACATGGGGGTTGTTTGTTTTTCGAGACAGGGTTTCTGTGTAGAAAAAACAGATGAAAGAGAAAGGAGGGGAGGAGGTGTGGGAGAGCCCTGCCAGTCTCGACTCCCTCATCAAACACTCACGGCGTTGCGTGTGCAGGTTTTAGAAGGTAGAAAGGAAGGAGCAGCCCTGTGCCCACCCACCAACAGCTTGTCACTGTCTGGGCAAGTGTGCAGATAGGCAGTTAAAAGGCCCAGAGCCTCTTGGCCTACTCTGTCTCTCTCCTGGGCAAAGTTTCTGCCTCAACTGCCTTACTGTCCACCCCCGGCCCCCATTACTGAGGTGACTCTGTCCTCATTACCCACCTCCCTACCCACTGAGGTGACTACGGTAATGCCGCCTTGTCCTGACTCCATGTTGTGTCTTGCCTGGTCACTTCTCAGGCCCCTCCACCCAACAGCCACATCTGCCTCTGAAACACATGGGTATTGTCCGTGCCAGGGTGTCCGAGGCCTCTTGACAGTCAGCGTGTGGCCCCTGGGTTGACACAACCCCTTCAGAGTCATTCTCTTTACGCTCATTGCTGATTCCCTTTCTAGATATTAGTTTTGGGCCGGGGGGGGGGGGTTGGGGTGCTGGGGTCTATGAACTAATGATCTTGTTTTCATTTTTAAAATTACACTTCTCTGTGTGTTGTGTGTGTGTGTTGAGACAGGATCTCAGATAGCTCAGGCTGGCCTTGAACTCCTTCTCCTGCCCTCCTTCTGCTCCTGAGATAACCATCAGGTGCTTTGTGGTGCATTATCTTGCTATCTCGAGAAGTCCTTGGACTCTGCCCCTCAGGTCCAGGAACAGCGGGTAAAGGGCTTGGTCCTTTACCCCTTCCTAGGCTGTGCTTCAGAGAGAGAGGAGTATGGTGGGGCCGTACTTATTTACTACTAGAGCCCAGAGGCTGGCGTCCGGGACCTCGGGCGCACTAGGCAAGAACTCGTGTCCCAGTCCTTTGGTCTGGAGCAGAATGAGGGGAGGATTGGTGGGATGCGGGTGTCTGGAGAGCTTCCGGGAGATGATCTTCATCGGGGCACTGTGTTCCTGTAAGGGGGGGCCGCCAAGGAGGCTCTTCCTGGGGACTCTCTGATCCTTTCTGGTTGAGCTTAAGCAGGACAGACATCCCCTGCCCCACCCTGGCGCCGCAGGCGCAGCTCCAAGTTCCTGCCACCTGCCACCATTGCAGGTACTGAGGGGAACTCTGCAGCAACTCCGCGGCGGCTGGCCACGCCCCTGTCAACGACTGGCCACGCCCCTGCCAGCGGCTGGTCACGCCCACGTGGGCGGGGCGGGGCGGGGCGATCCGGCTAGTTCTCGGCCATCCGCGGCTCGGCGGCGACGGCAACATGGAGAGCGGGGCCTACGGCGCGGCCAACGCGGGCGGCTCCTTCGACCTGCGGCGCTTCTTGTCGCAGCCGCAGGTGGTGACGCGCGTCGTGAGCATGGTGAGTCGGCCAGGGAGGACCCGGGGCCGCGAGTCCCAGCTACCGGGCCGCGTGGGCCGCCGGCCTCGGAGCGCGACAGGTGGCGGCTGCCGGGCGTCCCGGGCCTGGCGGAGAGCACGGGGTCCCGCGCCTCTCCGCGTCCCTGTGTCCTCCAGGCCGTGCGTCCTGTCGCCTGTCCCACTGCGGCTCCGGGCCTTGTCTCCCCCACTCGGGTCCGGGCCCCGTCGCACTCCTCCGGGCCGCTCTGTCCGGGATGTCCCTGAGGTATCCCGGGGAGGCAGGCCTGTCGCCCTGCTGGCAGTGGGAGGGACCGGGGGACGCCACAGCAGGTGGCCTGCAACCCGGAATTCACCGGGAAGGGACTTTCTGAAGCCACGTGGGGTGCAAGGTAGGGGGGTTGGCCTGGCTCCCTGAAGCAGGGTTTCCTTCCCCCTCAGAGGCTAGCAGCAGGTCTGCCAACCCACCCAGAATGTACTCCCTCCCTAGAAGCGGGGCAAGCCTCTAGTACCAGGCGTCCGTCTCTTGGGACGAAAACACTAAGAGCTGAGACGTTAGCTGTCAGATGGAGGGTGGGCCTCCTGCCCCTGGTACCTGGGCTTGGAGCCTTGGAGGTACCATGGCTTCCCGGGGCCTCCCAGCCTAGCAGTGGAGTGTGGTTAGACTCCGTCTGGGGTTGTACCCTGTCAGTCAGGGTGGCAGTGCCAGGAGTCCTGACCCAGCCTCTGGCCGGGTGCTGGAGTTCCGGCTTCATCTCCGTGTGGGGGCGGGGCTTGCGACGGCCAGTTCCGCAGCCCTGCTGAGAGCGTCCTGGGCCGATAGCTCTGGCCGGGCGAGTCCGGAGGCGGCCGGGTGCCCACAGACTGCGTCTGCCGCGTTGATGTGAACCTGGCAGTGGCCTTCAGGTGTTCGGAGGAGGCGAGATGACGAGCACGATTCCGAAGGGGCTGTTTCCCAAACTCTGGACAGTTCCTCAAGCTGGTTAGCTTCCCACCTCCGCCCTGGCTCACAGGCCTGCGGTTCTGAACCTTGTTCTATGGGGAACCTCCCCTCCCTGGAGGGGAGGGGCCAGCGTGCCCAAGAAGCAAGTCCTTGTAGAGAGAAGGCTGGCCCGCTGGAGAGTCGCCTGCACTACGGTAGTCTTGGAGGGGCTAGGGCTGCTGTTGCAGGCCTTCTAGAAGATGCTGTTGGAGGCTGTAGAGTTGACTTGGGGCAGAGTGTTGGGGACAGGGTTGGATGAAGCTCCTGAGTTTTCGCTCTTGAGTTTTAGGGCCCATTTTGTGTAAGAGTCATTCAAATGGGATGTGTAATCTCCATCACTGAGGAGGTTGAGGCAGGAGGATTTCAGGCCAGCTGGAACCAGAAGTGCGATCCTGGCTTCCTATTTGTATTTACTCGTTTTTATCTTATGTGTGTGTTCGCTTGTGTGTGAGAAGGTGCACCGTGTGCCTGGTATCCACAGAGGTCAGAAGGCGGTAGTCCTGTCCCCCAGAACTGGAGTTATAGGTGGCTCTGAGCTACCCTGTGGGAATTTGGTGCTGGGAACCAAATTCAGGTCCTCTGCAAGAGCAGCCAGTGCTCTTAACTGTGGAGCGGCTCTCCAGTGTGAGACTCCATCTTAACACTACAAGAAGGAGCAGGTGTGCTGGCGTAGGCCTTTAACGCCAGCCTCCTCCTCCGGAGGAAGAGGCAGAGGGTCCACCGAACTCCAGGACAACCAGCACTGGTCTAGTGAGACTCTCCCTCCAACAACAAAAACAGAACACTCTGTGTCTGTCTGTCTCTCTGTCACACACAGGTACACGCGCGCGCACACACACACACACACAGACCCTAAGGCTGAGAACGGTAGGCTGTTGTTGTTGTCCTTGTGTAGCATATGTGAGGCTCTAGGTTTAAATAGCCAGGAATGAGGATGGGATAGGGTGTGGGCATGGCAGCACATGGTTATAATTCTCGCATCTGGGAGATGGAGGCAGGAGTAACTCTGTGTTACACAGAGTTCAAGTCCAGCCTAAGCTAAAGGCGACCCCCTCCACCCAAAACAAACAAATAAACAAACAACCCCATCCCCTCTTTTTAAAAAAACCAAATCTCACTGGGCATGGTGATGTATGTCTGTAATCCCAGCATTCTGGGAGGCAGAGGCAGGTGGATATCTGTGAATTCAAGGCCAGCCTGGTCTACAAAGTGAATGAATGCAGGACAGCCAAGGCTACACAGAGAAACCCTGTCTCTAAACAAACAAACCCCAAATCTCATTCAAAATGGTGGATTGTTGTTTGTGCTTAGTCACAGCCTGAATGAGAATACACTGTAGTCAGGCACTTGGGGATAGTCCCTTCCCACAATAGCCCATCCTGTCCCCAGCCCCTGGTGGTAAGGACCTGCTCTAATCAAGCCCTGGGCACATCTGCCTGTCACCTTAGTCCCAGGAGTCCAGAAAGGGTTGAAACAGCATCTCAGGAGACAGCAGCAGACAAGTGACATCCTGATACCCTGCTAGGACCCTCATTTCTGGGCCCCCAGAGGAGTTTGTACAGGGTCTGGCCCACAGGCGCCTGCATTTGCCCGTGGCTTCTCTCCCCTCAGGTCTTGGCCTTGATCGTGTTCTCCTGCATCTTCGGCGAGGGCTACATCAACACACACAAATCTGATCAGTTATACTGTGTGTTCAACAAGAATGAGGATGCCTGCCGCTACGGCAGCGCCATCGGGGTGCTGGCCTTTCTGGCCTCGGCCTTCTTCCTCGTGGTGGATGCCTTTTTCTCCCAGATAAGCAATGCCACTGACCGCAAGTATCTGGTCGTGGGTGACCTGCTCTTCTCAGGTACGCCTGTAGCACCGGTACCCTGGGAGACCTTGGTACTGTTGGGAGGGTTGCTGATGGCAGCACAGGGTTATGAACCTCACCTGGGCCTTGCCCTAGGCCCCCTCTACCCTGGGTTGGCACATAGGCATTTGACTTCAGAAACTTAACGGTGAGCATGGCTTCAGGTTTCTGGACTCATCCATCCCACCTAGCTGACCCCTTACCCCTCACTTCCTCTGCTTCTGTAGGTTGCACAGCCCAAGGCCTTGGGAGAGTCCTTCTGAGTCCCTCCTGGTCCCTGGAATCCCATCTGCGCGGGGGCCAATTCTTCCTTCCTTGTCTCCTTAGCTCTCTGGACTTTCCTGTGGTTTGTTGGCTTCTGCTTTCTGACCAACCAGTGGGCAGCCACCAGCCTTGAAGATGTGCGGGTGGGAGCAGACTCAGCAAGGGCAGCCATCACCTTCAGCTTCTTCTCCATCTTTTCCTGGGTAGGTGGACTGCCAACGGTGGCTCTGGAGGCTTGGGTGAAGGCTAAGGCCCCCCTTCCCCGCCCACACCTTGGGTCTTCCCCCACAGGGTGTTCTGGCTTCCCTGGCCTACCAGCGCTACAAGGCTGGAGTGGATGCCTTCATTCAGAACTACGTGGACCCCACTCCAGACCCCAACACAGCCTATGCCTCCTACCCCAGTGCCTCTGTGGAAAACTACCAGCAGCCGCCCTTCACCCAGAGTGCGGAGACCACTGAGGGCTACCAGCCTCCCCCTGTGTACTGAGCTGCCAGGGGCAGAGGCAGGAAGGGTGCTCGGGGCCACCCCCTACCCTGGACTTCTCTCAAGGCTTGCTGCTTGGAACTTCAGTTCCTTGCCTATTACCGTTGACAGCCAGAGTCCATGCCTTTCTGTTTCCCAGGTGCAGCCAGACAGCAAACCTGAAGTGCCTGTGCCCAGAGGGGCTTCACCGCCACCTACCCAATCCTCAAGGGCATCTTTTCACCCTTAGACAGGGTTTCTCTGTGTAGTCCTGGCTGTCCTGGAACTCGCACTGTAGACCAGGCTGGTCTCCAATTCAACAGAGACCCACCTGCCTCTGCCTCCCAAGTGCTGGGTTCAAAGGTGTGCGCTGCCACTGCCCCGCCGTTCAGGGGCATTTATTTTTAGGAGAGGGTCTTTACTAGATCTTTTTACTCCCCCACCCCAGTACTGGGGATGGTACCCAGGGTCTTGAATTTGCTTAACCACTGCTACCATCCAGCTATGTGCTCAGTTCCTTGTTGCTTTTAATAACCCCAAACCCATCTCAGAGCCAGAAGCAAGTGCCTGCTAGACACTGTTTTCAACACATGCCAGTTTCCCCTTGGCTGGAGGCCATGGGAGCCCCAACCCCCCTCCCCTTTTTTTTTTTTAATTCAAAGACAAGGCTGGGGATCCTCGCACCTGCCTCCTTGGAGTGCTCAGGCTCCCCACCTCCACACTCAGGTTCACTGCCCAGCCTCGGCTGGGCTCTATGCTCACTGCTGTGTCTTCTGGGGTCACCACTGTGCCAACTGTCTCGAGGCTGCCTGACAACAGCTGTGGAGCAGGCAGGGGGCTACATATCACTCCTTCTTGCTCCCACCCCTGGCAGGAGGGAGGGGCTTTGCCTGGAGCTAATACCCAGCTTTATGTAACTATTTCCCCAGTGGTTGTTAGCCTCTAGTGGGGAGGGCAGGAACCCCAGCACTGAATGTATTAGAGACTTGGTGGGGACACCCCTCCCTCAGGTTCTGTAGACTAATTTGGAGATGGAATAAATGGTTTTCTCAGTGTGTTGTCTTTGGTGGCGCCTCAGGTTCGGGGTAGAAATACACTTTGATTGGAATTGTTTTAAGACAAGGCCTCAAACATATATAGCTAAGGATGGCCCTCTGGCCCCCAACCCCCACTTCTACTCAGTGTTTGGTCTTAAACCTTGGCCCTCAGGCTAGGCAACTGAGCTAGCTCCCAGACTTTCAAAGAGTGTCTCCATAGCCCAGGCTAGCCTCTGAAGCACAGGCCTATGGAACATGCTTGACTAGAGCAGGTTCTCACTGTGTAGCTCAGGCTGCCCTGGAGTGCTAGCAGTGAAACCATCACGCCCAGATGGAAATGTACTTTGAACTTGGGGTGGCAGCTTCCCCTTGGGGTCTCATTCTTCACACTGCCCTCTACTATATCCTAAAATAGCCACTGTGTCAGCTAGTAAATAAGATGGATTGTTCTGGGCAGCTTGCCAGGGGTCAGCTGCCTGCCTGGGGCCCCTGGATGCTGCTCCTCTGAATGGCTCCTCTAGGACAGACCTTTCCAGACTGAAGGGCACGGCAGGAGAGGCTGACTCTGGCCCCTTGACGCCTTCTGGGGACATGGCAGGGAGGGGCCCATCTCCATCGGGAGCAGCGCCTGAGGCAGTCACTGGCTTTTGTGCAATGATGACACTGTCGATCGCAGGCCCTGACAGGGTCTTTCAAAATCTGAAGCATAAACTAACAGGGCCTCTCCCTAGGCTCTGAGCTGTAGGCCTCCCCTGGAGAGCATGCCTTGAAGCAGTTCATGAGTTAGATGGCTGGCAAGCTGGGCACAGCCAGGGACAAACCGGCATGTCTTAGACCCAAGGGAGTTGCTCCACCTCACTTTGCAAAGTGTATTTGAACTGTTTTCTCAACTCAAGCTATCAAATGCCTGTTTCACAAACTTGATCTCCCAGTGTTGGCTAGAAACACTGGTTCCAGCTGGTTCCTTTTCCGTTTTTGTTCTGAAACCAACCAGAAAGAAAGGTGGATGACTGTTCCTCTTGGGCGGTGGGGTAGAAAAACCATGAGTATGACAAAAAGATGTGGGAAAAAAATCTCTGCCCTCAAGTCATGTGGATGCCGGCTGCAAGATTTGGGGGAAACCCAGATTTAAAAGAAACACATTCGCATCAAGCAATAAACTTTAATATTAATTGTTCATTCTATTCAATGTAGCCAAGAAACATATTCTCTTGGCTTACTAAGAGCTGAGTCATGGGGTTGGGACTCTGAGCAGAACAAGACCATAGCTACCCTCATGAGACTGGCTTTGGGTGCCTTTATGGTAGCCGAGGTCGGGCTGAAAATGAAACCCAGCCCTGAAAAGCCACCAAGCAGAAGAAGCTAGCACCACCAATGTCACAAGGTCATGTCACTCAGTCTCCACCCCTGGCTGAATGTCAGACCCTAGCCACCTCGTAAGATCTGTCCAGGGCCCACTGTCAGGAATGGCAGGCCCTGCTCCTCTCCCCGTGCTCTGAGAGTCCTACCTGGGGCAGGAGCTGGCAGGCCCCAGGTGCCCTCAGTTGACAGAGTTGTGCTGTAGGACTTGCTGAGGGGCAAAGAGCTTCCTGACCGCGGAGGCCTCTCCGGGCTGTCCCAGCACTGGGCAGTTCTCTTTGTTGTCTGGTCCAGCCCGCTGCGGGGACTTCTTGAAGTAGCACAGGCGGCACACGGAGTGGTACTTGTCTGCTCCGCCAATCACCTCCACCTGGTGGGAGGGGCGTCTGAGGGCCGGCCTGGGAAGCCCAAGCCCACCCCACTCTGTGGATGGAAGCTGAGGGACGTACCTCCTTCTCCAGGCCCAGCCTCTTGGTGTAGGCGGCTTCTCGGAAGCACTCCATACACACGGCTGTCAGCTTCACCACGCTCTCAGCCAGCGGCACCAGGTTCAAGATGCTACCAAAAGCCTACACACAGGACGGCAGGTGTGTTTGGTCACTTGGCCAGGCAGGTCCCTTTTCTGCCTGTGTTCACATGTGCACATGTGTGGAGGCCAGAGTGCACAGCACCCTGAGGCGCTGTTCCTCCAGCACTGCCATCTTGGTGTTTTTGGTGACAGGGTCTCTCACTGGCTTGGAGCTTGCCGCTAGGCTAGGCTGGCTTGCTGGTGAGCTAGGATCTACCTGTCTCTGCCTTCCAGCGGTGGGTAATAAATGTACACCACTATGACTGGCATTTAAGAGGGCTTTGAGGATGGAAGGCAGGCCTGAGTGCCTTGCAAGGCAAGCATGTCACAGCCCGAGCTCCCCTGCCCCAACACTTCTCTCTTAAACCCTGGGATTCAGGCTGCATCATCCTGACCCTGCCTTCTCAGAGAGCCACACCCTCCTGCTCTCTACCTCTTGGCCAGCTCAGAGCACCAACAGCCAATACCTTCTGTTCTGAACACACCTACTTCTGGGGGGACCTTGGGTAATGAATGTCTCATGCTCCTCGGGAGCCCCACCTCCTCTCAGACCCGAGTTGGGAAACTTACTTTCCTCTGGAAGGTTCCATCCAATGCTGCCACAATCACTGTCTTGCCCGAATTGGCCATCAGCTCACAGAACTCCACAATGTCTGGGAACTGGGAAAGTTGGCAGAGGAAGAAATGAGCTACCGGAACAAGGGCCTCATGAAGATCCTGATGGATCTGAGCATGGAGATCAGCCCAGAGCCGGAGACTAGGATGCCGCCATTCCTGTGAAACATCCCACCGGCCTGCCCTCTGGAACCCAGGCTTACCAGCACCTGACAGGAGAGACTAGACCAGCAGTTCTCACCCTTTAGTTCATGACCCCCTAGGGTTGAATAGCCCTTTCACAGGGGTTGCATTATCAGATCCTTGATATCAGATATTTATCTTACGATTATAACAGTAGCAAAATTAGTTATGAAGTAGCAATGAAAAGAATTTTATGGTGGTAGCACTAGGAAGGTTGAGAACCACCAGGCTAGAACTTTCCCTCACAGTCCTTTGAAGGAACTGGCTCTGCCAACGCTTCTAATCAATCATGGTTTATTCCTTCTAGAGCTGTCACTGAACAAAGTTGTGCTTTATTAAAGTTCTGTTGAGTGCTGTTAGGGCGGCCTTAGAAGGTAAACACAGCTCAGTTTTAAAGCAGATTTCAGAGCAGGCTGGAATGGTCAACAGGGTAGAGCACGAGGCATTCTCCTTAGTTCTTCACCTTGGTTGTTTCTTTTTTGTTTTGGAGACAAGGTCTTGCCTTGCTTTGTGGAGTCCTGGCTGGCCTGGAATTTGCTAGGTAGACCAGGTTAGCCTTGAACTCAGAGATCTCCTTCCTCTGCCTCTCAGGTTCTAAGATTAAAAAAGGCACGTGCTCCAGAGCCTGGTTTTTCCACCTTGATTTTGAGACTGGTCTCTCACTGAGGACAGGGAGCTCCAGGGCCCTCCCTGCCTCTGCCTCCAGAGCACTAGGGTGCTGGACAGGTGGCCATACCCAACATTTTACAGTGGTCCTAGGTAGGGACACAAACTGCTTGCTGAGCTAGGGCCTCATTGTCAGGATTGCCTCTCCATCCTTTTGTTTTTTATCTTTGATTGGTTGTTACTGTGGAGCCCAGGCTGTCCTGGGACTTGAAGTAATCTTCTGCCTCAGCCTTCAGAGGGCTGAGTTTACAGCCCTGCCACTGCCTGGTTCTTCAGACCTTTTTTTTTTTTTTTTTTTTTTTAACAAATAGCCCACACACAACCAACGCTCTATCTTCCCCTTTCCCCTCTCCCTCCTAGTTATAGTCTACCAACATAGTGAGCTAGAAGTTCCAGTTTTGTCCCCAGACCTAGAAGGCCCCAGTCAAAGGGCAGAGACTTGGAATGGATGTGATTGGTCCCTGGACTTAGCCATTCCCACAATAGTCACAGCATGTGACATGGCCTGCTCTATAAAAACACACGTGTATAATTAGAAGCGTTCAGGCTGGGCTGGCACTCACCAGAGTCCTGGCACTGGCTGAACAGTCTCTTTGGCTAACATCAGGCAAGGCACCCTGACCCCCATGAATAAAGACCCTCTTCCCCAGTCTTGTCTGAACATGGACAAAACATAGGTACAGTCTCCGCCAGAAGGAAGCAGACAGGCACCGCCCTCTTTCCAGGCCCCTCCCACAAAACCAGGCTCCAGCCCTTCTGCCAAAGGACCCAAGGGGGGCCCTCTCCCTCTCTGAGAGTCCAACCAGTCCATGATTGGTGTTTGCCCTGAAGCAGGTTTTAGGAACCCATGATACAGAATCTGCAGGGCATTCCCAGTGTTCGCTGCGTCACAGATGCTGATGTAGCAAGCTTCCTTTTTCTAGTGTGTTCCTATTGTGTTGTAGACTGTGCCTGTCTCTACTTGTGTCAAACAGAAATGAAACAAACTTCTTGATGCATAGCTTCTACTCTTGCCAAGAGGCCTCTGGGCCCTGGTGCTGGTGAGTGAACATAGGGGAGGCCCCAGATCCTCAGCTGTGGCCCCAGGGCCCGTGAACGACCCTCTACCCACTGTCCAGAAAGGACACAGGCAGGAAGGGAGGTCCCTTTCTTTTGCAATGGGAGCTCTTGAGTTTTGTAAGGAGCAGGGTCGAGGCTGGGCAGAATGGAAGAACTATGGAGTTTGTATATTATGTACTGTGAACTCACTGAAGCTGGGGGCATGACCAGTCTCAGAACTCAGGAGGCTGAGTTCTAATCCAGCCCGACCATAGAGCAAGACCCCGACCCAGAAATCAAAAAATCCACTAAATGAATTAGTTTTTCTTAGCCATAAGGTGAGAGGAATAGAAATAAATCTTTCCTATAGGTTAGGATGGGGGCAGGGCTGGGGCCACTGGGAGGCTGGTGTCAGACCTGGGTACCAGACTCTTAAGCAAAAAGGGCTAAGAAAGGAACATGGCGTCTAGGGAAGCTGCCTGGGCCTCTGAATGCCAGGAGAGCAAAGCTAATAAGCAGGCACAGCTGCGGGCCTGGGGAGAGACGCTGCACTCCATCTGGACAATGTCTGCCCAGCCGTGATGCTCCAGGCCTGCCTCTGAGGACAAAACAGACCTGGCATGTCTAGGTGGATAGACAGAGGCCATGAGTGAGGATGTACACCTCACAGGGAGACACCCCGTCAGCCTCATTCCACCTCTGGGAATGAAATCCAGAGCTGTCACAGAGCACAGGGAGGGAGGGCTGGCACACGGGGGTAGGACTTATACCCAAAGGGCATCACAGCTGCAGCTGCCTCATTCTCTCAGGGGATGGGGTGGGGCTGAGGGGAGACAGGCATGCCCATGTTGCAGATCAGGACCCCTTCCCTCCAAACCTGACCAGCCTGGCTTAGAGTGTGAGAGTAGTGGACAACCAGAGAGCCAAAGCAAATCCCAGCGACTGAAGACAAGTTAACTTCCTGACTTCCCCAAAAGATGAAGGAAGGACCAGAGGGGTAGAGGGTTATGCTTCAAGCTAACTTACAAACTGCCCTTCATCGATGCCAATGACAGCCACACTCAGTGCCTCCTGGGTTACGTCTCGGAGCAGACAGGCCGGCAGGGCGTCCATGGTGTTCCTGGGAATAGAAGGCCAGAAGATGAGCAAGGCCAGGGCTAGAGCATCCCTAGGCCCCAGATGCAGGGGTAAGGTGCCACTGTGGTCGGCCGGGGCAGCCTCTGGTGTTTTCATCCATGTAGGAGGGACGGGGAATAAAGGGCCTTGTTCAGAAAACCAGTTAATACAGGTTACCTCCCTCAACTGAGAATTAGCAGTGTCTGCTAGAAAGCTCAACAAAGACTCCAAAGCTTCTTCAATGCTTACCTTATTTTAAAAGAAAGAAAGCTCTATGGTTAGAACAGGGAACAGGGAGCAACGAAGGGGTCACCAGGCCAAGGAGTCTGGCCGGGCCTCTGAGAACAGGAGGGGAGGACTACTTCAGCAGGCCAAGGACACAAGGTTCAAACTGATTGCCTAAAGTGAGCATGGGAATGCACACACACCCAAGCACCCAGCTCAGGGAAAGGGAGTTCCAAGTCAGCCTGGGCTAGGAAATGCTTCTAAAGCAAACACACACCAATAAAAACAAAAAGAACAACACCCCTCCAAGAAACAAAACAAAAACACCCCGAAAAAAAAGGAATCAGGCACATATGCCCTCAACTGCTGAGCCTCCATGCCAGGGACAGTCCCCTTGGCCCACAATACTCTGAGCAACAAACCCCATATTTTTATTTCTTTTAAAATTCAAAATAAATAAATAAACAGGATAATACTGACCTATGTCACTGCCAGCAGAAAATATCATTTGCAGCCCAGTGCCAGGGTACCTGGTGGCTCATGCCAGAGGGTTCTACTCCCAGTGCCCAAAGACAGAGCAAAATAATCCATTTGAGACAGGATCTCTGTAGACCAGGCTGGCCCCAGATCACAGAGATCTGTCTGCCTCTGCCTACCAAGTGCTAGAATTGAAGGTATATGCCACTACACCTGGCAAGTTTAAAAAAAAAAAATTTTTTTTAATAGTTGTATCTGGGTATAGTGGCACCCACCTTTAATCCCAGGGCTGGGGGGGGGGGGGGGAGTAGAAGCAGGAGTCTATCTGTGAATTCGAGGCCAGCCTGGTCTACAAAGCAGGTCCAGGCCACACAGAAAAACCCTGTCTCAAAAAAACAAAACTATTTTTAGTTGTGTGTTTAGCAGTTTTCCTGCATGAATGTGTGTGTGTCGTGTGTGCCAGTGCCCCCAGAGGTCAGAGAGGGTGTTAGGTCCTCTGGAACTGGAGTCACTGATGGTTGTGAGCTACCACGTGGGTACTGGGAACTGAATCTTGGTGCTTGGCAAGAGCAAGCGCTCTTAGTCACGGAGCCATCGCTCCAGCCCACAAACACAACAAGAGTCCAGCGCCAGGAGAGCTGTGGCATGCTTGCGATAGCCTAAGAACGAACACACTGGAATGAAGTGTGTCCTGTTCTCAGTGTCCGGAAGCCAGACCCTCTGGAACGCCCCTCCGTATTAAAGACTCTCCACATCACTCGCCTATCTGCTGGCCCAGCCAGGACGTGAAGCCCCCACTTCCCAGCCACACAGACAGCTTCCCAGCAAGGAAAAGCCCAGCCAGGACCCTGAGAGCCAGTTTGCATGCACTCCAGAACACCATTAAAGGATCGGGAACCACCCTCTCTGCTTTCTAAGGAGCGGAATGCTGGGCTGGACAGTGTCTTCCCTGTGCTGTTTCCTTTTGTTCCCTTCTACCTCACTTTCAGAAACAAACTCAGAAAAAGCACTTTTGCAAAACACAGTGGCATTCACACAAATCTAAGCACCGCCTGGATCTCTACCTCACACTCTTGAGATGTGGGAGGTTGTGCATGGCACAGCGGATCTGTAATCCTAGCCCTTATCTGGCTGAAGTGGGGAGCAGGATATGGTGCTGCTCGCCTGTAATCCCAGAGGAAGAGGGAGTCACAGGGCCCACCCAGGCTACATTAAGAGACCATGTCTCAACAAACAGGCTGAAGACATGAGGTTATTTGTTATTCTTGCAAAGGACCTTGGTTCAATGCCCAGCTTACAATCATCTATAAGCCTGATCTGGGGAACCTGGTGCCCTTTCTGGCCTCCCAGGGCACCAGGTGAACAAATGCTATGCAGACCTACAAGCAGGCAAAACACCCATACAAACAGATGAAAACATTCTAAAACAACCAAATCAAAAACAAGGCTGAGTTGTCTTAATGGGTGAAGAGCTTCCTGTGAAGGCACAATGAAGGCCAGGGATGTGGTCACACACCTTTAACCCCAGCATTTGGGAGGCAGAGGCAGGTGGAGCTCTGAATTCAAGGTCAGTCTGGTCTACAGAGTGAGTTCCAGGACAGCCAGAGCTCTGTAGAGAGATCCTGTCTCAAAAGAGCCTGACCAATGAGTTTAGAACCCGAGGCCGTCCTCTGAGCACATGTGCTCAGGCACCTGTGTTGTGCAACTCCCCCCCCCCAAAAAAAACCCCAAATCCAACCAAAGATTGTAACACACTGCTCATGCATTTTAAATCCCTTCCTCCGTGCCCAAGCAGAGCAGACCAGAGGGAGGACAGGCCAGAGGCTAGCTGTGGCCCAGACCCTGCCACTCTCTGGGGGACACCGCGGTTACAAAGAAGTAAAGTGTGCTGGCGGCAAGCACACTTGACTCCACTTCCTGTTCTGTGTCACCAGGCTGTTCTGGGCCACCAGCCCACAGCAATCCTGGGGTGCAGCTCCAGCCTCCTGGCTGGGCTTTGCCTCTGGGGTTAAGTCCAGGACACCCAGGAGAGAGTGCCTCAGGCTTCGAATCCCCAAACTTGCCACCAAATCACTTTACTGAACTCTCAACCTTTGGCCATTGCTGGGGCCGATAAATATACAGTTCAGAACGGTGACAGCCACCTGTCAGCAAGGAGCCAACTTAACAGGAGGAAAAAATCTATGTGATCAATGAAGGTGGCTGCAGACTCTGCCCAGGTAGAAGCCAGGTCCTCCCAGCCGCAGGGAGCACAGTGGACACTGGGGACAGGTCATTTTAAGTTTTGAGCACTTGTTCCCATCCGTTAGAGGCCAGTAGCAGCCTTCTCCAGCTCTTGCAGAGACCCAGCCCCTGGTAGAAGTGACAGTATGGCCCGGGCCTGACGGGGTTTCCCCAGGACAGGATCGAGGGGGCAGGACTGACCGATCGTGCGTGGAGAAGCTGCTGCTGTAGCGTGTGTCTTTGGCATACTTGATGACCAGGCACTTGTTCTGGGCTATCTGGAAGCGTCGGACTCTTCTCATCAGTTCCGTGCTGCAAGAGTGACCAGGGCAGCTGAGGCCCGAGCCAAAGGCGGGTAGCTGCTACCACCTAACGGCGGGTATCCGAACCGCACCCCTTAACCAAGGTTTGCTCCCCAGGCTGTCAGTTTTATGAATGAACTTCACAAAGCCTTTTAGAAAAGCGCCAAAGAGCTTGCCTCTGGGCCCCAGATCTCGAGCTTGGGCCTCGGAGCAAGGGTCAAAACTCGGGTGACACCAGGCCACTCAAGAATAGTAGGGGTGCCCGGCTTAACAGTGCACCCCCTCATCCCAGCACTCAGGAGGCAGAGGCAAGAGGATCTATTGGGTTTGAGACCAGCCTGGCCACATAGAAAGACGCTGAGTCCAAAAACAAAACAAAACGAAAATACTCCCCCAAAATAAAACAAAGAAACTCCAAGCTGTGGGGAACTTACTCCCGGAAGGACTCGCAGAGGTCAGACCCTCACCTCGGAGGAAATGTGGCTCCGTGGCTTCGGGAAAGCTCGCAGTGGGATGGGTGAGGACACTGTCTCGGAAAAGGTGCCCACCCATCGCCCAAACCCCAGGGGGCACATGTGGGAGCCCTGTGGGCTCCTGGGGATGTGATCCTCCTAAGCAAAGATAGTTCTCTGGGAGAAGGAGCTAGGGCGGGAGGCGGGCAGCAGTCCAGGAAACAAGAATTTGGGCGGGAAGGCTCGCAGAGGTCAGGCGGGGCTTGCACTTAGACTTCTGAGAGAAGGGGAAGGCGGGAGAGAAGAACCACAGTCTACAGAGAAGAGGAGGCCCACCCGCCCGAACACCCCATTCATTACCTTTTTCCTGAGAACATGGGCCCGAGGATCACCTAGGAGAGAAGGCACCTTAGGGGTCCCCCCTCGTGCACCCCGGAGCACCCAGCCCCCGCCTCCGCAGGCCGGACCCCGCACCTGAATCTGCCCCCGGGTCTTGCTGGGGGAGCTGGGCAGCACGGTGGGCAGATTGATGTAACTCATGGCGGCTGAGCAAACCTTAGCTGCGGGTCTGTAGATAGAAAGCGTTTCGTACTTTGCGCGTTTTTCTGTCTTCGACCAATCGCTCGCAGCCGACAAGCCTCGCCCCAGACTCCGCCCCAGTCCCTAGGGAAATCCAGCCTCACTGCCCTGTTTCCTAGACCGATCGACATGGCGCTCCTTTCGGCGCATTCCGCTGGCGCTGGCGAGGCACCCTGGAAGGCCCTGTCTGCGGAGGTAGGTGTGGGGCAGCCGCCCAGAACCCCGAATGGAAGTTTAGCAAGGCGCTCAGACCACCCCTTCGGGTGCCCACGTGCCAGATTTCCAAGCCCTGAGCGCCAGATTTCTTCACTTTCACTTTGTAGAGCAGGTTTAGCCTGTTAGCCTAGTTTTAAAGACAGCGAAAACTTAAAGTCAGGCAGAAATAAGGGGCTGAGGGTTTGGACCTTATTCTGAGGTCTTGCAATGTGGGTCTGTATTTATGTAAAGTTGGAAAGATGCCAAGGCTGGGGATCCCTGCTGTGTGTCGCCAAGCAAGGCAGGCACCTTCAGGGACAAACAGTATTGTATGTCTTCAGAATTTTCATTTAATTCCAGCTAAAAATGCTTATGGCCCACACCAAGCATGCCCAGAAACTTTCCCTGCATTCAGGATTTTGTGTTTGATTACTCTGCCGTGGGCTGTAGCAAAGGTTACCGGCTGCATACATTATGGCACTTGCTATCACTACTATTCCGTTATAATTTCTTGGCTGGTTAGCTCACACTAGTTAAACAAGCTTCTTTGTTTTGGTCACAGGCATCACTGAGAATCTGTTGAAAATTAGGGATACCGTGTGGCTGTTCCTCTTCTCACAGCTCTCAGCCTGGTGGTGTTGCATGCCTTTAACCCCAGCACACAGAAGGCAGAGGCAGGCTCTTGAGTTTGGCCAGCCTGGTCTACAGAGAGATAGATTTCCAGCACAGCCAGGGCTACACAGAGAAACCCTGTCCGGAAAAACCAACCAAACAAAAAAAACTATCAGTCATAAATCCTAGTAGTAAAACCGGCAGCAAGGGGCTAGAGGGATGGCTCAGCTGTTGAGCCCACACGGCGCCTCCAGAGAACCTGAGTGGGATTCCCAGCACCCACGTCAGACAGCGAGCTACTCCCAGATCCAGGACAGTCTGAGGGGTCACAAGCACACTAAAATAAGGAAATAAAGAAATAGATAAATAAATAAAAAGACTTCGGCACACATCTATAATCTCTGCACTGTTGAGGCAGCTACACAGTTACAAGAGACACTGCCTCAAAACTACAACAACAAAAAGATGACAACAGCACTCCCATGCCAAATGGAGCCCTAGCATCCAGCAGGTGCTGACCTGAACAAGAGGGCTCTGTAGCTCCAAAGACTGAGCAGGAATACATTCAACAGGAGGCAGCTGTGCAACTGTTCAATGGCATACATTGTGTTGTTTCTCCCTTTGAACCCTGGAAGGCGGCTGCACCCACGTTATACCAGTGAGGAGACGGAGGTTACAGGCAGCCAGTAAGTGATGAAGGCTGGTGGCCTTCAGGCCTTTGTGTGAGACAGTCTTCAAGAGTCCTATGATGTTGGCTTAGGCCCCTTGGCTGTAATTTATCTGTCTCCTTTGTGTTAAATGTGGCATCTTACCATTTCCCAGCACCTCACACTTGCTGGCCAAGCGCCCTGCCGTTGAGCTGTATCCTCACTGTTAACTTTATTTACTTACAGGCAGAGCCTCACTCTGTAGCCCTGGCTCCCCGGGAACTTGCTGTGTTCTACACCATTCTCAAAGTTGTCTTGCTCCAGAGTGCTGGGATTACAGCGGTGCGTCACTGCACCTCAGCTGCTCAGCCTTCCCCATCCCCATGCTCTAGCCTTCTGGCTGCGTTTGGAAACTGACCTTGGACTTCTTCCTCACCTCTGTCCCCTGGACCCAGTTTCTGCCTGTGATCGGAATACTGCCCTCCCAGGAAAGCAGACTGTGCCACTTGAGGGCTCATGGCCACAGAGCTGACGCCTCCCCGTGGTCTGCGTCTCTGTAGGAACATGCCCCCACCGCAGTGCCATTGCCATTCACTGGACACCTTTACAAACCTCATCCTTCATTAAGGCTGTTGGCGGGTTCAAGGCGTGGCTGCCGCTGGGGCACCCATTTGCCACAAATCTGAGGGCACCTTAGGTGTTCTGCTGAAATATTTAATTGGGGACAGCTAGTAGAGGGGGTGGAGAGTGGAAGCTGAAAAGGCTTGAAGGAAACTGTGTGTTGGGGCGGGGTGGACACACCCCGCTGAGAGGGGGTCTCACAGAGCCCTGACTTGCCCGCAGGAGCTGGAGAAGCAGTACTCGCCCAGCAGATGGGTCGTCCGCATGGAAGCAGACAAAGTCGTCGGGACTTTCGTGCAGATAGGAAGCCAGGGTACTGTGGGACCTCCCTGGACACCGCCACTTATCAGGGTGGGGGAGGGGCTGCACCCCTAAGTGGAGAGCCACCTCTCTTATACCAGGCACTTGGGGAAGGCTCTGCTGGAGGGAGGTGGGAATGTAGCTGGAGCAGAAGAGCTTGGCCCTCACCCAGGCTCCCCTCCTTGTTGGCCAAGGGATGCAAGCTCTAAAGCCACTGTTCTCAACGTGTGGGTCACGACCCCTTTGGGGTTGAATGACCCCTTCATAGGTGGCCTAAGACCATGGGAAATGTCAGATATTTATGTTGCGATTCATAACTAGATTCATAATTAGCAAAATTACAGTTATGAAGTAGCAACAAAAATAATTTTATGGTTGGGGTCACTGCAACTTGAACTGTATTAAAGGGTCAAGCATTAGGAAGGTTGTAAACCACTGCTCTAGGGGGACAGAAAAGAAAAGGAAAGAAAGCAGAATATTGTTGCTATTATTTTTTAAGTTTTTTGTTTGTTTTTGTTCTTCAAGACAAGATTTCTCTGTGTACCCCTGGCTGACCTGGAACTCATTCTGTAGACCAGGCTGGCCTCGAACTCAGAGATCCGCCTGCCTCTGCCTCCCAAGTGCTGAGATTACAGGTGCCACTCACTATGCCCAGATCATTGCTATGTACGGAAAGCAACTAAGGTGCTGGAGAAGGATGTGCCAGGTGGGCCTCTCCCAGCATGCACAGGGCCCTGGGTCAGTTCTCCCTGTGGAGTAAACCTGTCGTGGTAGTACATGCCTGTGAGTCTAGCACCAGTGAGGCAGAACACAAGTTCAAGGTCATCCTCCATTATGTCATGGATTCACACCAGACTGGGATACAGGAGACCGTGACTAAAAGGACAGAGGGAGAGGGAGGGGAGATGGAGAGAGAAGGGACTTTAAGCCCTGTTTCCTTTAAAGCAGTCAGAGCTTGGGTCTGTGTGCCTGTGAGGCCTCCCTCTGCCCCAGAGTGTTAAGTTGCTGTGCCGAGACTACAGTCCTTGGTGAGGCGTCCACGTGGTGTGGGAAGCTGCCTTAAAGAGGAATGGGCTGTGGAGGCGGCTAGCTGTCTGCTCAGAGCAAGAAGCTGAACTCTGGCCATCTGCCTGGTCTCAGCAGACTGACGGAAACCTTGCCCCGGGTAGTTTCCTCAGCACAGATAGCCAGGGGGAGGATCAGGCTTGGGAGTGTTAGCACACACTGTGTTCTATCCTGCTCCTTGGCCCCTTAGTGTGGGTGGGAGCTGTTTCCTGGGCTCTGAAGGGTCCTCGGAGCAGCCATCCCAGTAAATCTGTGGAGATGTGTGGGCAAGCCCATCTTCCTGTCTTGTCTGGAGGGAGAAAAAAAAAAAACAGTCTAGGGAGGACGGAAGTCACCAGCCGAAGGCCAGAGCTCAGAGTAGGCCACTGCGCGATCAGTGGTCAGCTCTCAGGAAATGCTGGCTGGGCTGTCTCCGGTGGTGCACCCCCTCAGGCAGACCTGTGTGAGCGCACGGCCAGTGTGGCCTAGGTGGAAGTTCAAGGCCGGCCAGGGATACGTAGTGAGACTGCGTCCTAGGAAGACTGGACCTCAGCTTTCTTTTGTGCTCGAGAGGCGAGCTCATTCACCAACTGAGCCAAACCCTAAGCCCCCAGCATTTTTTTAAATGACTTTTTTTAAAAAAATTATATTACTTTTTTACAGTGTGAGATTATTTTGTTGGGGGGGGCATATGTGCCACAGGTGCATACGGAGGCCAGAGGGACACACGCCGGAGTCTGTCCTCTCTCCGTGTGGGATAAAATTCAGGTTGTTGGGCATTGCTGGCAGCAGGTGGCCATCTCACTGGCCCCACATTGTCATTTCGAGATGTATTGAGCTGGCAGGGCATGGTGGCATGCACCCATAACCCATCCTCCCTCAGTGGTAATGGCTACATGACACCCAGTCTCAGAAACAAACAAGCAAACCAGATCAAACAAACGGCTGCTGGGTGGTGCTGGTGTACCCCTATAATCACAGCACTTAGGAGGCAGAGGCAGGAGGATCTCTGAGTTTGAGGCCAGTCAGGTCTACAGAGTGAGTTCCAGGACAGCCAGGGCTACACAGAGAAACCCTGTCTCAAAAAAATCTCAAACATGCTATTGCATTAAAATATTACCCTTAATTATTGAGTTGTTAGATATCTCTCTCTGCCTTGTGTATGACAGGCGAGTCCCATTTGCCCACAGATGAGATCAACTACTAACCAGAAACTCTCAGCTGAGTCTCTAGGCTATCTCAAGGCTTCCTTGGAGCTGCTCATCAGCCTCAGGCTACCTCATCGTGACGAAAGGAGATGGAAGAGGAATGTAAACAGATGGTGCTGGAGGAAAACGAAAACCATTCTCCTGATAACTCAGAAAACCTCCCTGAAAGGATAGAGGAGAAGGAAACAGCTGCGCTGCTGGTTGCCTTGTTGAGACAGGGTTTCTCTGTAGCCCTGGCTATCCTGGAACTCACTCTGTAGACCAGACTGGCCTCAAAGATCCACCTGCCTCTGTTGGGATTAAAGGCATGAGCCGCCATGCCCAGCTTTACAACTATGTTCTTTAAAGATTTCTTTTATTTTCCTTATGTGTGGGGCCCTCTATGCAGGGGTTTGTCTGAATTTCTCCTGGGATCTCTGGTGTGCAAAGCTGAGAGGCTGTGTTAGGGCTCAGCTGAGCCACACCCAAAAGCCACTTGTCTTCTGGCTGGGCTAGGAGATATATCAGCAGCCTGGGCTTACCTGGGAGGTGCCCTCACTTGGGGCTTGGGGCAGTTCCTGCTCCCTGTGGCTCAGACATGCCTTCACTCTCCAAGGACCAATCATCTGTGTGTGTGTGTGTGTGTGTGTGGTATGTGTGTGTGCTTGATGGGGCTTGATGATTGACAAGTGCTCCCCCTTGGCTGATTAGTACGCTTTGTAATTAGGGTGAAGATAACAAAGGCCTCAATAATAATGATGATGATAATAAACCAATATTTTCGTACATATTATATAATGGTATATTAATATTAATAATCAACATCATTAATTGTTGTTAATATTATAATAATATTGGCACCTGGAGGTTACAGAAGGACACAGGCATGCTTGCTCCCATGTCTAGAGCCTGTTCTGAGCTCTGGTTTCAGCCTCCTGCCAACCAGCTCCCTGTCCTGAATGGCTTCCGGCCTCCACTTCCACTATTAGGCTGCTAGCACAGCCCTCAGGTTAGCTCCATGCTGTGACCTCTAGAACGTGGGGCTTTGTCTGCAAGAGTTTTGACACTTTGAGTTATGAATAATTAAAGTCCAATTCTTGCTCTGTTGCCAGGTTTATTCTGGGGTGTTTTGCTAAAGCCCTCCTGTGTTCCTACCCAGGGGTTCAGAGTCCAGAGGCTGGGTGGTATTCACACTTCGGGGCGGGGGGGGGAGGGTCTACATCACCTTATCCCTCATCTTTGTGTCCACTGCTGTCCCCGCTGGCCACGATGGTGGCCACAGGCGTCCAGGGAGAAGCAGGAAGAGTAGTCGGGTCAGTGGTGTTGTGACTGAGATTTACAAGGGCTTGCAGCCACCACATGGCGGCTTTGTTGCTGTTGCTTCTCAAAGGAGAGCAAAAGTGTGGCTTTGGCACCAAGTAAATCCAATCCAACCAGCCAAGCTGTCAGGACTCTTAATGAAGCCCCCGGCTTTTGACTGACCCCGAGGCACACACTTCTCCCTTGCTGGGAGCTCCTGTGGAGGGCACTAGCAGTACCTTCCTTGTGGCAAGCATGCCTCCCCTCTGACCCCCAAGTTACTCTTCCAGTGGACGCTTGCTCCCAGGGTCAGCACAGGGTGGACAAGGCTGTTGTCAGCAGTGTGGATCTCCATGAGTTCCAGACTAGCCTGGTCTACACAGCAAGTTGCAGGATAGCCAGGACTGTTACACAGACTGTTTTGAAATATAAACACACACACACACACACAAATTAGCTGGTGTGGTAGTGCACACCTTTAATCCCAGCACTTGGGAGGCAGAGGCATTCGGATCTCTGTGAGTTCAAGGCCAGTCTGGCCTACAAGGTGAGTCCAGGACAACCAAGGTTATACAGAGAAACCCTGTTTCGAAAAGAAAAAGAAAAGAAAGGCTTTTTCTAATGCTTAGAGAGGTGTGCACCATCTGGCGGTGTCCACAGTAAGAATGCAGCGAAGGAGCAGCGTCCACAGTGCCTGCTGGGACCACAGGTCTGTTCTGGTCTGTAGAGGACAGGGCTGGGGAAGCCTCCTGCTGGGAGCTGCCTCAGCTGACCGCTTATCACTAAGGGGGTGCTTCAAGCTGCTAGAACTCACTGTACCTGGGCTTAACTGATAACGGCTTGTCTGCCTCTGCAGCCACCCAGAAGG